TCCAAATCGGCATTGTGCCCAGTCAAGCTGAGGCTATAGTTGAAATTCACAACATTGACTTTTTATTTACTGCCTTTTACAAGTTTTCACGGTAGGGTGTTATTTGTGAAACAACCACAATGATTCTGAGATATTTACGAAATTTCAGACCAAAGGCGTTTATGGTGGGGATCGAAAACGCGATTATCCTTTCCGGGGGTTATATTGAATAATGAGTGCATAGGTTTATTTCACCAGGTTTATATGCTGACAGTAGACGAACGTCCATCGCATCTTATATTCCTGGAGGAAACTTTCCCTAGGCTTGAAATTTCTTCATAGAGATCTCCTAATGAAGAAATGCAAATTAAAAATCGAAAAATAATTCATTAAAATATATCGTAAGACGATGTGGCTTTGAGGAACACCTCTTATCACTTAGTGTTGTGAAGGGAAATTAGTTTATGAGAAGAAATGAAATAGAACGGTCTATTAAATTAGCTTCTAGCTAAGCTGTACGATAGTGCTTAGCGCAATTTACTTACAATCAATCAATATTCTAAATCTTTTATAACTTTTTATGGCGCCGTTAAATAAAATTAATCAAAGCTAGTGAAGTTATTGTCCCATGGGAAATGATAACCACCGGTTTTTATGGACTCGCTTATTTTTTGAAAAATTGATCAGTGGTGACTCTCAATTTTCAGCTGTTTGATATAAGATTTAATATAGCAGGCTCTATAACTTAGTGGAATAGAGTGCCACTGTCGCACAAATGACGCCAGGTTCGATCATTGTCGGCCTTAAAACAAATAAAAATTTCTCCAACATCGTTTTTTACCTGGCCAATCGAAAACATGATTGTAAGCATTGATATGGCAATGAATTCTTCGCTATTTTTCCATTTTTCACCCTTCTGAAAGGAGTCCTCACATTCCGATTCTTTCAACATAGCCATAGACGAATCCCTCATTTTGATCGGCTAGAAATCACTAGAGACGTTATGGGATAAACTTAGAGTACTGTGTGCTCCTCGATATTTTATCGTTCTTATTCACTTGATGAGAACACACAAGCAGTTTTTTGCCTAGTTTAATAACCCCATTTCCAGAACAAAAGAAATCCCGGCTTTGTTTTTGTCCTACGACAACCACAAGTTAATCCATCATGTTCCCTAAACGCTACCATGTCGTCATTGTCATGGTTGTTGTCGTAGTTCGAACCGAATTCCGAACAATGAATTAAGGGATTGTCGTTACGCCGAAGTACCACGTCTTTCCTCTATCACTATGTGACTAGCGTACATTAATACAACTATATTTACTATATTTTGCTTGCCTTTTCACTAGGAAGTTCAAAACAAGAACAACGTGCGATAGGGACATTCGACGTATGCAAGCTTATCGAAATGCTTCCGGGAAAATCAGACCTGCGTTCCCAACAACTCGTAGTACATCTTGAATAAAAATCGATGATAATGCGTAGTAACAAAGATTTTGAGTTTTTTGACAAATAATTCTACAAAATGAAAAACTGTGGCGGGTTTCTGAGCTTTTTCTGTTTTTTTAGATAAGCTCATTTTCAGCTTAGAGGCCAAGCATCAACCGTTATGAAAAAGCGCCCTTCCACCAATTCACGCCATAATGAACTGTTAAGGGCGAAGTATGAAAAAGTAAATAGCCCAGAAATGTATGCCTCATATTCTTCTATAATGACCTAAGAAAAACTGAAACCGATATTTTTCAAGCTCTCTAAACGTATCTTAAAAGGTCTGGTTTGAGATATTATTGGTTGCCCAGGTGACTCTCTGAAGGGAAGCATACTACTTACCGTCATCACTAGTAAAATATTAAGGAAACGGTGTGATTTAATCTCTCTTAAGTTTTTTTTTGTATGACCTCCATATGTTCGTGTTCTAAGAATTGTTCTTAACATTTGAGTAGACCTTTGTTGGGAGAAATCATATTGTGCTAGCTGTTGATGAGTAGAGATTCTGTGCTGGTTCTAACAGAAACTTTTTGAATTAGGACTACATCATTCGATCACCCTGTTAATTTCTCGTTAGATTTCTATTGTTTCTTTTTTTACATTACTCATCTTTACATGTAGTGCAAGGATCTGGTTCCAACACTTCTTGCATTCGTTCTAATCATTTCCTAGCATCTGGTCTATTGGCTCCTCACGTGTAATCAGCTCTTGCTTGAGGGTTGTCGCCTTCTTTATGAATATCGTTAAACACTGATTCCCTCGATTCACCTTGGTGTCTTGGCATAGTCGAGACGGAGCGTTCCTTTAACAGAGTAGGTTGGGCTCAGAGAAGTTTGGTTCCAACTTTCCGACCATTGACGGGTGAGGCCTGGTGAGCTCGAGCACGGCCAGAGCAGCACCTTGTTGGTGATGGACGGCACCACTGTCAGTGCGCAAGGCGCCCGTAATTCTTTAAATTGGTGCAAAAAAAACATATGCCACAAACTAGGGACGTTTTATATCAAACGACTAAGTGGTCATTACACTATTTTTGCACTTAAAAGTAGGAGATTGTGTTCTCGTTTTCCACTAGCTATCAATAGCTTACTTCCAACTGTCAGACATGGCACCAGTCCATCCATTTTGCTCGGGAAATGAAAAGAAAAACGCATAGAAAATCCACATTTACTTGTCTGTTAATGTACTAAATACGTCATTATCGATCTATAACTGATATACTGAAGGGGCGCACATAGCGCAGTGGTGAATGGTGTCCTACAATACACATGAGACCATCCGCTAGATCGATTCGCGGACGTGCTCACCAAGCTCTCTATCCCTCCGGGGTAAGCAGATTGCTGCCAGACTTGCCTAGAAGGATAGAAGCACTATCTTGATAAATTGGTACACCATCGCAAGTAAATATCCTTCAGGTATCCAGTAATATCCAGTAAATATCCAGGTCAAATATGCATCCTTCATTTCTGTTATGATACGAATAGAGACAAATGCATGGCGCTTACCTCAAGGATTGATCAAAGAATTATCAAGAATAATCGCCTCTGACTTTTCTCCACTGCAGCTAATTTAGTAATTTCCTTTTTTCAGAAAAAAAAATTTAGAAAATTAGAAAAAGGGCAATGACTTCTGAAGAAATCAATTTCCTCTAAGATTTATCTGATGATAATGGAAAGAAACGCCTGCCTTAAATCAGCGCTGCGAGATCTCACTAGGTTAAAACAATTTCTTTTCATAGGAATTTATTAGCCAGAATTTCTCGCCCGTTGTAAAGTAGAAAACGGTAATCGAATTGCTCTCAAGCGAACATCAAACTTCAAAAATGGTCACATTCACGGAAATAACAACAAGAAAAAATGAGCAAACAAGAGCTTAATTCACCGTACTCTATATTTTTTTGTTTCTTTAAATTATACAACTCCACCTCACATACTATGTGGATACCAGCATGCCTTGAATTCAACCGGTTTCCTTGGATCAAGGATCTACGAAGATCTTTAGATTTCGTGTAGCTTCGGTAGCTGGTTGAGAGTTTCCGTCCATCTCATGAATGCAGTTGAATGCTTGCTGAACAGATTCTTCCTGGAATGCTGGAGTAGCTGTTCTAGGAGCTCCCCATATGTTCGGCACAAACAGTCTCTAGCTCTTGCGGATTGCTGTGATCTCTCTCCCGATAAGTCTGCTATCAATTTTCAGACCTCTGGAATGAAAGGCTTGCTTGGTTTCAGGTGAGAGCCAGCTTTGAGTTTATGGTTTAACGGCAGCTTTAATTGCCGTGCCGTCCACTTTTATCGCACATTAATCATTAGATAAGTCAAGCTGTCACCAATGAATTCTAATTCGCTCCTATCATGTGCAGGAGCCTTTCCATAGGTTCCACTTAGTCGGAAAGCAAAGTGATCATCATGGATTGCTACATGATTCTGCGTTTCAGTTTTATCCTGGCTATATAAGAGTCCTCGAAAGCCTAGAAACGCTGAGGGGCGATATTCTAGCATTAAAGATGACGACCCCGGACCAGAGCGCTTGGTATGCCCGCAGCGTGGAATCGATCCGGCAATCGCAAGCGTCACAGAGTCATCTCTAATCACTAACACTATACGTACCGCCATTAAACCTCTAGTTTAAAAAGACATAGACTTCGCTAATATCGAGACAACGACTTTTCACGTATAGGAAGTACAAGCTGAATTAATCTGATTATTTAATCGATTACGAATTCAAGACATGTCAAGGATCTGGCGATAGTTATTCTTCCAATGAGCTTCCTTCTAAGTGAAAACTTTCCCAATTTTTTAAAACTTATGAGCTTGTTCTTTTTTTTTATTTCAATCATTAAATTTTTTCATCAAAAAATACTGAACTGTTATAAATATTATGGAAGAAAAGTAGACACATGTAAGCTGACAGATCTCCAAGACCAATCTTCAGTTGACCTCTGCATTAATCAGAAACCCATGTTGTTCTCTACAAGAGTACGGTAACTTAGTAAACTAGTCATTTGAATGTCTAAGATGAAGGCGATTTAAGAGATGTATAGAGAAAGAAAAAAGAGGAAGAGATAGAGAAAGAGAGAAAGCAAGTTATCCAGTGGAAAACATAAGTTTCATTACTTCATTTTATTGCCTATGTAAACCAAGTGCTTATGATTATGTTTCTAAAATTGACACGACGTTTAATATAAGTCTATCATCATAATCAAGGCAATGCTCTAAGAATTCCTTTTAGGTTTTTCATATGGTACATAGAAAAAGGATCTTGTTTTGTTTTTCCTGGATTGTTATGCAGAATTTTCCAGAAGAACGGTCCTAGCATTGGCCTAATAATGCGTCCTTATTTTGGCCTGTGCAGAATAACTACACTATTTAGCTGTGAATCACAGAGAAAAACAACCATTTAGAAGGCAGACGTCTAAACGTAGACTTACACCATCACGCAAATATAATATGTTTAGCGAATGGAGAATAAACCCTTTGAGGTTTATAAATACATGAGGGTTTCACAACGCATTCAATTCCAGTCGCTGTGTACCAGGGATGTTGAATGTATATTTGATATTGTATATCAACAATGACACCGGCACCGGGATCGTACCAGCCCACAGAATGGGTGCTTCTTTGCTTCTAGACAAGTCCATCACCAATTCACCGTCTCCGGTGAGATGAACTTATTATGCCTCGGTGAGGGTTCGAACCACAAAACATTTTTGATATTTTCAAAACCGACTTTCCGTGAACCTCAGTATCACTAATCAATATGTATTCTTTCTTTGATGAGCTTACACGAGGTTGATAATGATATTTATTTATTATCGGCTAACGTTTCGACGTTTTCGTCTTCCTCAAAGCCGGTGATCCCAGTCGATGGTCCATGCTTGTTGTTCGTCTCGACGTCGCAGCTTCGCCTTCGTGTCGAGTCAGGTCTTCCTCAGTGAGCCATCTTCTCGAATGAGGCATCCTCACTCAATGATGCCCTTTTATACACTATGTTGATGGTGGATATAATGATAATGTCCGGTGGTAACAACTTGTATTTCTTCCGGACATACATCATTGCGCACATCGTGCAGAAGTCGGTGTTTTTATCAGCTAGTACAAAGCGTAATAATGTTTTCGAAACCAACTTTCCTTGAACCTCGGTATCACTAATCAATATGTATTCTTTCTTTGAAGCTGCAACATCGAGACGAACAACAAGCATGGACCATCGGCTCGGATCACCGGCTCTGAGGAAGACGAAAACGTCGAAACGTTAGCCGATAATAAATAAATATCATTATCAACCTCGTGTAAGCTCATCAAAGAAAGAATACATAAACATTTTTGAATTAAAGCGAACTTGTGATCGCTCCAAACGCTTTTCATTCAATCATTGATGGATCTGCACGAGTATTAAGAAGTCTCCACTTTTTCCTTACCTTTCCTTCTCGTGTGAGGTTTTTTCAATTGGATGAGGATCTTCTTCACTTTTCTGCTTTTGGCAATAAAGCTGCTTACGACTTCTTCACCGGGGCATGCGTTGAAAATAAGTTTGCTTTCAGATGAACTTTCGAATAGAAGTAGTAAATTCACTTCCACCTTGAGTAACTTTACTAGATGGTGAAATAAAAGTGGTTACAATCGCTCAGCACGCTTAAATAACCATGAAATATCCTTGTTATAACCCCTTACTCAATTCATTTGATGCTCGGGGAAGAATTACATAAGAAATTATGGATGGAGCTGCAACAAAGGAAACCTCTTGACAGTGCTAGCCGGCAACTTTTCAGTACATTTACCGTGTTACAAAACCATGTATTTTTTTATTTATACAGCCACCAAGACCCATAAGAATGGATTATTATCCAGAAACTTCAATGACAGCTTCAAGTGTCGTCCAGAGTCCAGATTTCTCGTATTTCCTACATAAAAGCGAGTTTTTTTAGGAGCTACAACCGAAAGTGCTGCTGGTGGTGGTGATATTCGTATTGTGTTTTGTCGTCGGTATCTGCGGAAACTCGTCCATTCTGACTCTTATCCGAGGCGTTATGGCCGATAGAAGAATTCGAACAGGACGTCAGGGTGATAACGCAATCCTCTACATAGCTGCACTGTGTGTGTGTGATTTTCTGATGAGCCTTAGTCTACCACCAGCCATTCTAGTAGGTGTACAGCAATTTCTAGTTTTTCTAACTACAAAAGACAACTGTGAAGAATAGATTTGATTGATTAGACTTAGCGAGATTACTAAGCCAGAAATAACAAAAAGCTTCGCGTCTTCTTGCACCCGCACTCTCTTTGCCTCTTCTATAGATAGTTCTGTAATAAAGCATAAAGGATAAAGCTCTCAGCGTTGATCAATCCCTGAGGGATGCGCCATGCATCCGACTTCATTAAGTATCGCTGGAGCTGATTGAATTCATATATGGTCTTTACACGGCTCGCGGTGACCTGCCGATGTGTCCAATCACCGCTGCTGTGTTTCCAGACAAGTCTGGCACCGACTCCGGAGTGGTAGGAGGCTTGGTGAGCCTTGGACGCAATGATCGATCCCATGTGCTTTGTAGGGCGTTTCCGAGCACTGCGCTACACCAGCCCTTCTGTAATAGAGTCACCCAAAAAGATTGAAAAGAAAGTGCTGATTTTCCCATCAGATAATAAACGAACTTTACGATTTTGAAGTGATCCAAGATGACGATCTCCATTTTTATGATCAACACTAAAGACTCTCTCATTCACCTTTTGACACGGGTTTCGCTTAAAAACAGTGACCATTCCTGGCGTAGCTCATCTGGATCCATTTATCGAGACAAGAATGCTGAAATCCTAAGAGTGAATGACTTCTTTGAGAATTAAACCCTTCCTTTAGATCTCATTTTGACATCTCAGGATTTTTTTACTAAGGTTATTCGATAAATCAATGGAGGTATTTGTGACTATAATATAACGCAGTGTGTTTTAATTAGGTAGCGTCCATCAAAGTTATAACATTACCTATAGGTCCAGAGTTATTTATGTGACACATATCAGTGTCGGCCAACATTCGTTGTTCACCTGAAAAATTTCTACTAATTTCATACGAATTTAGTTAGTTGGCAGAGATTTCTTGTGGATAAAAAGAATAAGGAAGCTTAAGAACGCAGAGCTTAAGAGAATGAATTTTATCAAGAGACCTATTCTGAAGGGATACTCTACGCATTCTACTCAACTCGTCGCGTCGTAGAGATGAGCGATTGAAGAACAGGTCTATGAAATGACTTCATAGCCTTGCTTCTGTCATAAAGTCAATTTCTTTTTTTGCTAGTCTTAGAGGTCTGGTGCCAATTTGCTGATTACTGGAATGACGGACGGATTCATGAGGCCAGGGTGCGAGACCCAACCAATAAAAGAACGTATATAGCGGACGGCTCTAAGTGCTACGCTATATGTGCGTCCTAGATTTTTCCGTGCAATGCACTTTACTTAAATTGGTCCTTTTCACATGAAAATCAGACTTGTTTTCGATTTCTTCATATCAACACGCTAGGATATGATGTTATATTCTCACTAGCAGATGTCATAAAGATATTTTTCTCATTTTTTATTCCTGGAGAATGTCTTAAAATTAAAAGGAAACAACTGAAGAGTAAAGTTGCAAAATAATTTCTGAACTAAAACATTACCATATACAGATGTTTTTGTGTAACTAAAATGCGCTTTTAGCTCAAAAGAAAAATCTCCGATCACTAACTGGATTTTCATCTGCAGACCGGAAATGATCGTTTAAACTAACTGCCATCATCGTTAGTAATTGCATAAAGTTTGTGCTATGCCTATAAACATATCGTAATTCTCAACTGAAACCTCGACTTCGGAATTCCGAAAACAGACGGAAAGCGCTGAGTCATCGAGTTAAATGCTTTGCCTAAAAAACACTTCAAAATTTGAAAAATTTTCATAGAAAACATGCTTTTACGTTAACTCTGAACTTGTCCCGCAAAGTAGGAGAAATTTTTCAGCACTGAAATTATATTTATCAGTTGCAATGGTGCTGAGATATTTACAAAACCAAGAATTCCAAATGAGTGTCGAACCCGTAATCACATTTTCCGCGGTATCACCTGTGATCCGCTGCACCAGCGAGGCTCCTGGTTCGGTTTTTTAGCTTCCTTTGTTTTTTCCCTTTCAGTGATAAGCTAATGAAGCGTACCAATGAAAAGTTCTCGATATTCCTATAGAACCCCCAGATCAGAAATTGATGCAAAGATACGGGGCCAGGTCGCATGTAACCTCTGCGCATTCCTCACTGCTATTCATTCCAGGGTTCTTGTGTTTATCCAAAAAACCTCAAGAAGCTTGCGTACTGGTGTTTTGGCATACTATGCGAGGATAGTGACTTTTATATCAAAATCGCCCCCGCTGTGTTTTTGTATCCTATGCGTCCTTAGTGGGGTACTTTGCCTTACTTTTCGTTTGCCATCTAGGTGTTCTTTTATGCGGATACATAAAGGCCTGTCCATTTCACTAGTGCATTCGTCTCCGCAACTACAACAAGAGATCAGGTATATCGTCCCTGAACTCACGCAATCACAGTCCCTGCTATAAGGAGAAACTACGCGACTTTGTGTTTCGTATAGATGGCCATATAGATGGTTACGAATTAACTGACGACGAAAAGAATCAGATGGAATTTCAACTATCTCCAACGACCCCTCTAGACCTGCCCTTCTTAAACACCGTTTCACAGCTACACTTACTCCATCGCTAATGAGGGCAACATAAACGGGGTTTTGTTTTGGCCACGATCTTCATTTTGGTGCGTTGTTCTCCTTCTAAACTTGTCTCATGGGAGTACTATTTCGTAGCAATGAGAGATGCCTATTTGCCCAGCCAAGTCGCCAAGTTCTTCCTTTAGTTCCCTGGTCGTGCACACAGAGGTGGCTGTTAGAAACATGAAAAGCGTATATTTACCTGTATTACACGTCAAACGAACAACTAACAACCAAGGAAATAGTTGAAAGAATGCTCGAAAAAGGTGGTTTTAATTTGGTCTTATGTTCATGCACTATAATAGAAGAAAGGAACTCATCATATCGAATTTGGCAAAACGCATTTTATGATAGTATTAAATCCAATTGAAGGGCACGTGAGGCGTAGTGATCGGAGGCGCCCTGCGACACAGACGAGGGATCGATCCCTGCGCTCATGGCTCACCAAGTCTTCCATACTTCCGGGGTCGGCAAATTGGTGCTAGACTTGTCTGGGAGGACAGTAGCACTGGCTCGATACATCGGTAGGCCACCGCGAGTCATCGTAAAGACCACATATGCATTTAATCACCTCCAACGTTGCTTAATGCAATCAAATGCATGGCGCATCCCTCAGGGATTCATCAATGCCGAGAGCTTTTTTATCTTCTATTAGACAATTATTCTTCTTTATTTATTGCTTTTTCCATCGTCATTTACCAATAAAATTTTCGATGTTCTTCAGTGGAATTCTTCACATACTTCATTAGTAGACGAAAACAACAGAATTCTTGCAGATGAGAAAAACATTGAAATAAAAAGCGATGGGGCTGATTGCTTTCATTTCCTTTAGCAATTACAACCATTATTTTTACATTTTGATGAAAAACAAAACTATTTTCTTCGAAATCGTTCTGCACGTGTAGAAAAGACCTATCAAAAGAGCAGAATTATATAAAGTAGATTCATACTGCGTCAACAACAAAATCCAAGACGATGACGTCGATTTGACTATGAACTTACGACAATTTAAACAAATTTTTATCATACAAAGCTTACACGACCCCGCCTTCACATCCACTGAGCAGACTTCGCGCTTCTTGCACTCGATTCCTTTCCTCACACTCTCCGTCTTCTACTAAGCTCGTTGAATTTCTTCCGTGTGGGTTCGGCTGCTGCTTGAGGGTTATCGTCTTTTATGGAAGTCGTCGAATGCTGACCGAGTCGACTCTCCCTGGTGTCCTGGGATAGCACGGCTGCATCATTTCTATTTGGAAAAATATATATATATATACATGGAGCATCTGTATGACCCGTCATCAGATATAGTGCACATCCCTATATGGGTTCGGCTATAGCTTAGAGATTTTGCTTTCTTTATGAATAACTTCGACTTCTGGTCGAATCCATTCTCCTAGGAATCTTTGGAAAGCTGTGTTAGAGCGTTCCCAAAGCTTCAATACAAGCATCCGTCTGCCGGTAGGTCGGATTAAGCTTTTCCCAGACAAGTATTGTACCAATGAGCTGAGTCAGGAGGGATGAGCGTCTTGGTTAGCCCGCCGCGCGGTGTCGAAGCAACGATCACACGTTTATTACTAACCACCTCTACAATAATAAAGCGCAAGCAAAGTGTAAATAGTGATATTTTTCAGGATAGTGTGATTGGTTTCTGGATTTTTGGCACATGGATGTGCAAACTTCACCATGTTTGTGGTTCTGTAGGACGAATAGCGTCAACGTTTTTAATCACCGCCATGAGTTTCGATCGATATGTGGCCGTTTGCCGTCCTCATCACACTTACCTCAGAAGCCGATCATTTGTTCTGGGAGTGATTAGTTGTAAGTTTTGTTGTAATCGTTGTGATTTGCAACACTTTCTAATACTCCATTATGATAGTTTGCTCTTGGAAGAGTGTAAAACATACGGTTAACATACGCTATTACTCTCTCTTCCAATATATAGACTATTGTTCGGGAAAAATCTTGACATAAAATGGAGTTCTTCGCCATTAAAAAGTTGATCAAACTCTGAGGGTGCGCCATGCATTCGACTTCACTAAGTAGCGTTGGAGGCGATTGGCACATCGGGCATTTACAATGACTCGCAGTGGCCTACCGATGTATCGAGCCAGTGCTGCTATCCTCCCAGACAATCCTGGTACCAATTTACCGACCCCGGAGGGAGGCAAGGCTTGATGGGCCATGGGCGCAGGGATCGATTCCAGGTGTGTGTCGCAGTGACACCTCCAACCACTTCGCCACAGTTGGAATTAAAGGTCATGCATTCGGCTCCATTCCTAGCAATATCGTAGAGAATTAGATGCATATTTAGTCTATGCAATGATTTACGATGCCTTAGAAATGTATTAAGTCGGTGTTTTTATCGTCCTAGATCAGTTTAACACCGATTTATTGACCACGGAGAAACGCCGGGCATAGTTTGGCGTTTGCGCGGGATCGAACCAGGAACTCGTGAAGAACAACTCTAATCACTGAACCACATATGCCCCGACCGTTGGAATACGTTCAAAAACCTATTTTGGCTTGCTCTTTTCTCTACCGTAATATAGGGCCATCGGTCACCTCTTCTTTCTTAGACGACCTTTGTATAAGCCAAATACCTACTGAAAGTGCTATATTTGTGTTCGTTCTAATCTTTCCTTTGCTTTAAATTTCGTATTACTCTTTTTGACTTTCTTATTTATTTTCAGGCCTTTCCGTTCTGGCATTCTTTCTACTTTTACCAATGCTTACCTATGCTAAAGCTAACGAAATGGTATTGCATGAGCTTAAAGCCATGGATAGTTACAATATTACTCGAGTTAGAGTATTCAAATGTTCAGACATGATGCCACCGCCTATTTTCTACTGGTTCACAACGACGTCAGTGTACTAATTTAATTAGTTGTCGATTAATTCTATAATGATCTTCTGGTAATTCGCCATTACTTAGATACTTGGATGGCTCATCATCTGTAATTGTGTGGGCTCCACATAATTTCCACTTTTTCGGAGTTTTGCGGGTTTAGCTATTGTGGCTCTCTGAGGTCACGAGGCCAGTCTCGCCAAAGCCTGCCTCAGGTCGTTACGACCACAGGTAGTCACTGCCTTTGTGGATCAGAGGGAAATTTGCCGCCATGCGACTAGTTTGATACCACAGCGGAGCTGGATCCTGGCATTTGCTTATTCTTATCTAAGCTTGGTAATAAAAACGCCAGACTCCCTCTTTGTTTGAGAGACCCAGCTGAGGAGATAAATCCACCTGCTGTAAATCGCAGCGCGATACCCAGGAACACCTCTCAACCATAATGAGGCGGTAAACTAATGGGACGGTAATCAGCTATTGCTCGATGAAACGCGTTTTAGCCGTTTTCACCTTATTACTTAATGCACTCACTACAGTGTAAGTTTTTAGACTGTCACAACAAGTTTTTTGACCCCACGGAAGTTTCGTTAAAAAGGGTACTTAAGGCGGCACAAAAGCCCTACGGTTGCTGCTGATTAATAGTTTGGAACATTTTAACCGGAAAATTTTCTTCCATCACTTAACATCATATCTACCACATTGTACTTATCTTAGCAATTCCTGGATTTGATTCGCTTCCTACCATCCACCATCCACAAAAAAGTTCGAACTTCATCTCGCGCTTAGTTTCGGCTGTCGCAAAAATTTTTCCTCTTCTTTGCGAATATCGCTCAATTTGGAATAAGTCGACTTTTCTTCAGTTCCTGGGTTAGCAGTGTTGGAGAGTTTCTGCGTGGATGACAGGAAATGAACTTCTTCCAGGGAAGTCTGGTACCCATTATTTGCTGGGCCAGGTGCAGGGTCGAGCCGGCGCTTGGGCAAGTGGACCATTCCACGTGGTTAACAACATTAGAATAGAATTTAGTTTTTCAGTGTTTTTACGAAAAATCACGTGTTGATGAAAAAATTTTGGAAAGACGGCGTTCTATTTTCAATAGATTTTCCTTCTATTGGGATGATAAGCACCTTTGTTCGATTAAACGCCGCTGTTAGTAAACTCTAAGAAAAGTGAACTGAATATCGAAAGATCCTTGGAAGGTGTTCTTTTTTTTTCGCTTTCTTTTATTGGCACTCCAAGGAATTTTTTGGATTCCACTTATTGTTTTTGGTGACCAAAGAATGAGTTTTGAAATTTTTTGTGCTACGGGATATTACGGTATTTCATTGGACCATTTTCAATATGGTAAGAAATTTCATGTAGGATCGAAATTCCAAAAAAGTTTTCAAGTGTTATCGACTAGAACAATTCAGCAAAGGCGAGGTGTTGTTTGATTTCTTTATTTACAAACAAGCTGCCACGTTTCGGCGGATTTTGCCTTCTTCAGAGCTTAGAGACGTTTCCAGGATCTGAGGAACGCGAAATCTACCCTCCGAGACGTCAGATTGGTCGTCGATAAATAAATAAAACAACACCTCGTGTTGGCTCAACGAGAATATAAAGAATTGTTCGATCAATGCCGAGGTCAATAGAAAGCCGGTCGTTGGAATTATCGATTAGAATTCTGACAAGGAATCGCTGAAAAAAGCAGACATTTTCTTTAAGTTCTAACGACTGATGAAAAACAGATGTTTTTCCGATTTTTCTAAGAGAACAAGAAATTTCTTCATTTACCAACCTTTTTTCAATTTCAGAACATTTGTTCTCGGCTACGTGGTACCGTTAATACTAATCGTATTTTTTAATATGAGGTTAATTCGTAAACTCTGTGTTCATAAGAGGTTGTCAATTTATCTCACTCGTTTTTTTTTCTATTACTGAGATTTATTTACTTTTGAAAAGGAATCCTGCTTCTCCTTCTTCAGGGTAGTTCCACAATCTTCTATACCACTTCGACAAATTGTCATGTATACGGTGTTGATTGCTGCCTTATATTTTGTTTGCTGGACACCTTATTGGTCAGTTTTTTTGTAAAACTTGGGTTTTTTAACTTTATCTGAATATTTTATGCCCTCTGAAAGGCATCCGATGGCTATATAGGCATAATGATTCTATGAATACAACCACACTGATGCTGAGATGTTTGTAAAACTCAGACTCCAGACCCGATTCGAACCCATGATTATCCCTTCCGGGGACTCACGGGTTACACACTCCACCACCGATGCTCTTGCTTTGTGTTTCTCTCGACTAATTTCATAAATATTATAGATATTTGAGACTTTTTTTTCTGGACTAGGATCGCCAACTGTTGCCTAGGATAGTCAGGCAAGGTCGACCCACTCACTTGCCACTTAAGGAAAGCGTATTTAAAAGGAAACAAACACGAATGAGAAAGCAGTCGAAAACGTGAATGATTGAACTTTTTTGCATAATATGCATAATATAATATAACAGGTCTAGAAATTATGATGATTTAAGGGAGGACTCGCATGGTGTGGTGCTGAACGCGTTAGCCCCCGGAAAGGCAATAGCGTGTTCGGTCGCCACCGTAGACACCAGCGGTCCGGAGTTTGGCAAATAGTTCAGCAACATTATGCGATGATTTATTTGAAACTATTACTTCCGAGCATTGTAGATGTGGCTTGATCTGCAAAAATCGTTTTCGTTTAGCTTTTTTTTCCACATATCTACTAAAATTAGTGTTAGAAGTCCTGCTTATAGGTTTTCTGTGCTTTATGCAATTGTTATGTCATTGGTCGGTTTGCCAACGACAACAAGCGAATTGCTATTGTTTGTGATTTACTGCGTTCACCTATTACCGTACTTCGGTAGCTCATCTAATTGGATATTGTATGGGTTGCTTAACACTCAACTACAGGTATGGGAAAATAATAGTAATGACTAATAAAGAAATAAATACAGAAGCTGTTCCACGTTTATTAATACTTTATGGACGCGCCATGCATTGGACTCGATTCGTAGCGTTCCAGAGGCCACAGTATTCACGTAAGGCCAAATAATGACTACGGAGGTCCACTAAAATGTTAAATATGGTTTTTAACATCCTGGAAAAGCCTAGCACTAATGTGCTGAACTTAAAGCGGAGGTGAACTTGGTTTGTCCAGTGTTAGGGATCAAGTCCACGACCATATGTTTTCTGCAGTATGTCTCCAACTTTCGCGCTATATGCATCGATTAACGATCAGTATAATGTGGAAACCTGAGGCAACTTTTCTTTAAATTTTACACAACTCGTCTTCACATCTACTTTGTGGATCCCAGCATTCTTGCATTCGATTCGGTTCTTTGCACTCACCATCCATTAAGGTTTTCGAACATTTCTCGTTTGACGTCGGGTGCTGCTAGAGAATTGTCGTCTTCTTAATAAATGTCGTTAAATATTGGTCGAGTCTTTTCACCCTGGAGTCCTGACATAGCCGGGCTAGAGCTTTCGTACTTGGGTTCCAGGGAGTAGACCGTTCTCGCTCTAGTCTGATACCAATTTCCCAGTCCTGGAGGGATGAGAGGCTTGGTGAACCTGAGGCAAGGTCAAACCAGCGCCGTCTTCGTGATAGCCGGCATCACCATAACTACAGTAACCACCCTTGAAACAACATTTGCATGTATCTAAACCGCTGTCATCACCACATTCAGCAGAGCTAAATCCTCACTAATTCATATTTTTTTATGATAAGCATTTTCGATTCATTTTTAAACACCATATGTTTTCTTATTATTGCGATTTTAAAAGAGTTCCTTTGTCCACAACATTTCTAGACTATTTTATTGCTTAGGGAGCGGATAGCGCTATGTTGACCTCGGGACTCCAGGGAACCAAATGGCTATGCCAGCAAAACTCCGAAAGAATGGAAATTATGCTGAGGCCCACACAACCGTTGAAGACGGGCCACCTCAGTATCCAAGTACATATATGTATATATAATATATATATAGTGAGATGATTGTTTGTATATCTGGTCTACAATTCCTTGCTCTACCTTGTTAAATCGGTGTTTTTATCTTCCCAGAAAAGTTTGGTACTGTTGACCACGAAAGCATGGAAGGCCCTGCTCTCGGAAAGATGAGATCGGGCCAGAAACTCCTTTCATCTCAGGGTATCTCTAACCACAACACTACGACCTTGTATTAATTCGTGTACTGGGGTCTCAGTAGACGTCGAAAAGTCCTACCATAAAAAATTTTCCATAAAATCTTATTCCATAAGCAGTTTTACTAGACACAACGGATTTGGTTTCTTTCTTTCCTTGAAAGCCGTATCTAACATACCATATTTTCAAAGTGTTTCACTTACGTACTTATCTAGTTAGGGCGCATGTGGCGCAGTAGTCGGAAGCGCCTTGCAACACACACGTGGAATCGATTCCAGTGCCCATGGCTCACCACGACTTCCATCTCTCCGAGCTTAATAGAAAGTCGGTCGTGGGAGGTATCATCAGAGTTCATAGTCGTTTAAGAGCTAGGGAATATAACGATTCGAAATGAAGTAGCGAATGTTAGGGGTAGTACCCCCTCATGATATCAGCCTAAATCTGAGTCTAATCACCCATTATAACTTCCAGTTAAGTGCCTTATTAAAAGAAACTGTTTTCTTTCGCTGAAGCCCCGCGCAAGAGTACCTACACTCGAAGCATTTTCCCATCAATGTAGATTTCAAGGAGGTTTGCCGCCCACTATGATTGAGTCTCTTGAAGAGAGACAGAGGTCTTTGACAAACATTTATCGTCGAATCAAATACAAAGGATGCTTTTCTTCTTCTGAGCGTTTGTGATTCTGATAGACTGTAATGGATTGTGAATTAAAATTCTGTTCTACTGCGGCGTTCGGCACCCAGGAACCACATGCTGTCACAAGGTGACGCTAAACACTAGAGAGCTTCCTGAAGGGCAAATTAGAGTCGCAAAAAAAATAAAGCTAAGAAATAAAAAATGAATTTTTAGCAGATTTTTGACCATGGTTTGTAGACAACACGTTAACAATACTACTCAGTTTTCCAATACGCTGTACATGCTTAACTCACCTATGTCATCGTAAGAGGGGTGCGTGTGGTGCAGTGGTCGGAGGTGCCCCGCAGCACACACATGAAATCGATCCCCGCACCTGTGGACAACCAAGCTTTCCATCTCTCCGAGGTCGGTAAATTGGTATCAGACTGGTCTGCGAGGATAGCAGCGCTGGTCGATACATCAGTAGGACACTGCCAGTCATTGTAAAACGCCAGATATGCATTCAATCACCTCCAAACGATGCTTAATGAAGGCGAGTGCGTGGCGCATCCCTCAGGGATTGATAAACGTCGAGAGCTTTATCCTTTTATCTGGTTAGTAAAGTTTTGTAGTAAACAAGTAAGTAAGTATGTGACATATTACTTTTATTTAGTGTTTTAGATGAAAACTGAACATTTAAATAACGATAACCACATGAGTTTCATATCTATGGTGAACGTAAACAATGCGAATTCTGAAGCGAGATCGTCGAGGTAAACTGAAATCTGCTATCCATCAAAAATAAGTTTGACGATAGATTTTGTTGAAATTCCAAGATTATTCTTTCGATTGCAAGCTGTTCAAGCTGTTCAGATTGAGTTGGTAATTTTGATAACAGCGAAAATGAAACAGAAACGAAGATCACAAAGAGTTAAGAGGCAAAAAAGGAACCAAAAATATCACGAATAATTAAGGTTTCAGGTCGACTAACCGAAATGTGGTTGATGTGGCGAAACCGATCATTGACGGCCCAGCTCAATGCGTCGTTCGTTATTCCGGCGATGATGGAAAGTCGATGATCATACAAAGTCAATCGAAAACCAATTTGCAACTATACGAGGACACTGAACAAACTCTTTTATAAGTCTACGAAAAATTGTATGGTGTTGGAGAGACCGAATTCAAACTGAACGAACGCCTTCAATCTGAATCCTTACCAAGATATTCTGTAATCGAGATGCTAGTCACCACAGTAATACGATCATGGTGGTGACGATTTTTGGACACACGGAAGTAGTTTATTCGGCCATATCAGAGCATTATTGCTACGATCTACCTTTATCAAGTTAAAAAAAACTACGATGTTTTTTAACCCAAGTAGAAAATGAGGAAATCCTTTACGCGCTCAACCCAGTGTAACGTGGCATCCGCTGCGTTCTCGATTTGTCACAGCGCTTTGAACTCATTCGAATTTTACTCTTTGTATCTTCATAGACCTTCTTACATCACATTAACACTTAGCTTCGAGGAAGAAATGCTAAGAAAACCAATGAATTTTGCAAGTTATCCATCGAAAAACTAGGCCTTCTCTGATTTCTTAACATCAGTCACTGATATCTATTGAACAATTAGCTCTCGTCGTAGAAAATGAGTCATATCGATTCTTTCTGTTCAATTCTGAGGCTACGGTTCGTGAGCTGAAAAATGTGATATTCCGTTGTAATAATATATTCTTTGCTTTAACAATTAATCGATTGCAGATACTGTAGATGGTCTCATGTGTTTACGGGTCATGTGTTTTTGCTTTTCTGGTTCTTTGATTCGATAAACATTCGCTTTTTATAGTGCTGTAATCGTTCGATAAATTTCACATCAACAGTCACGATTCATCCAAGATGACTAGATTTGATGAGAAAATCGATTCCGATAGGAATCAATACGTTGATACATTACTTGCTTGACTATTTGGACTGCCCGGTCTTACTGGTTGTGCTGGCGGCAGCATAATTTCAGAGTTTTGCTAGTTTAATCAAGGTGTTTCCCTGGAATGCCGAGGTCAACCTGGCCAAAGTCTGCCCCAAGTTGTTCGTCACCAGCAGTCGCGGCCCTTGTTGATCAGAGCGAGATTTGTCTCCATGTTACTAGTTTGATACCAAGACGATGGTGAATCCAGCTATTGGTACTGATTTACTCTTAGCTAGGCTTCCTGATGGAAACGTTGCACTCCTTCTTGGTTTCAGAGACGCTGCAGAGGGATGAATTCCCCTCTGTATTTCGCAACCCGACACCGAGGAACATCTCCCAGCCACTATGAGGCTGTAAACTGTTGGGAGAATATGTTGATACGACAAAGTAAAATTTGTTTTACAATTTCAACTTCGAAATTTCTTAGTGCTGAAAAAAGTGTCTTCTAATTAAAACGGCAAAATAGGAGATTGCTACCTTGTTAGACTATTGATGTGCTTCCACATTATTTATCACACAGTCTTTTCACCACCTTTTCTATCTAAACTACTTTATTTCGACTATAGTCTCAACTTAACCGGGTTCATTACCCATTTGGGCGCGCCATATTAATTCCGTTGACAGGTGATTGCAGATGACACTGATCGATAGAACGTGATAAGAGACAGGCAAAACGAAGAACCGCATGGTGTGGTGGTGAACGCGCTAGCACCCGGAAAGGTATTAGCGTGTTCCTTCCCCACCACAGACACCTGCGGTCCGGAGTTTTGCAAATATCTCAGCAACGTTGTGGTTGCATTTCGCTTGTGCGTAACTAGTAGCGATGACGCTCTAGGTGCTGCCCATTATAAAATAAAAAGTGCTTAACGAACACTACAATTAAATTCTTAGCATTGAGCGACAATCTTAACCTTTTCATTTACTGCCTATTCTTTTTGACGGCAGCGTATTTTGCGAAACATAACTTCTATAATGCTGAGATATTTGCAAAACTCCGGACCGCAGGTGACTGTGGTGGGGAACGAACGTGAGTAACGCGTTCACCACCACACCATGCGGCTCCTTCGTTTCGCATATCTCTAATCTAGTTCTACCGATCTTTTTGCCGTCAGCAGTCACCCGTCAACGGGACACCCCAGATCAGTCCCGTTGACTCAGCATTATAGAAGTTACATTTCGTAGCATACCCTGCAGTTAAAAAGAATAGGCAGTAAATAAAAAGGTTAAGGCTAGGAAAAGCATTAAAAATGAATATTCAACTAGATGTGCTGATGAGAGATGAACTGCATTGAAAGCCGGTTCTGGTGGTGAAAAATCAATAACTATCACGACCGACTTTCTATTAACCTCGGCATTGATCAAGTAATTCTTCGTATTTTTGTTGAGCAAACGCGAGGTGTTATTATTCTTTGTTCACGATTAAGCTGACGTTTCGGCGGATTTCGCCTTCCTCGGAGCCTGGAAAGGTCAAGTTGATAGCAATCTACTCGGCCAGACGCCTCCATGACCAAACAAAGAAACTCTAAACCAAGATTTCAATCACTTTGAACACAGCTTTGCACACTCACCGCTTCCTATAAGGTTTCCACTAAGTATGTCACGTAGAGACCAACCGCACAGAAATCACATGGAAGTATAATGTGCCCATCACATCAGAAAAGCAGTTTTATATACTGCCCTATATCACGCGTGGTAATGAGGCATTCTTCCCTGCGGTTCATTTTCGGATTTCTGGAATTAATCCAGAGTGCCTCGAGAGTTTTTCGCGCCTGTGTTCTTGATTCGCGTGCGAGGATCGTGACACATACTTCGAAGTCTTCTCCATTATGTCTCTGGGTCCTATGCGTGCCTAGCTGGGTATTTGGTCTATTTTTGCCGGCTAGGTGTTCTTTCATGCGGACACAGAGGGGTCTACCCGTTTCGCCAATGTATTGGTCACCACACGTCTTACAGGAGATCAGATAAACTATACCCGAGCTCATGCAATCACCGTCTCTACCACTGGGGCAAATTATGCAATTTTGAGTTGCACATAGACGGTCATATAGGCGGTTACGAACTAGCTGGCGCTTAAGATTACTCGGTGGTATTTCAACTACGCTCACCGAATTCTCTAAGNCCGCCCTTCTTAAGCAGCGTTTTATAGCTGTACTTATATCATTTGAGATGAAGGGCAGGATAAACGAGACCCTTCTATCGCTAGAGTTGTCGTTTGGAGGCCTACGATTTCCTCTACACCTATCCTGAGCTACAATTTCGTAGCCATTAGAAATGGCTATTTGCCGTGCCAAGTTCCGGGACTCCTCTCTCTGCTCTCTTCCCGTGCACACGTTGGTTGCTGTTCGAAACATGTTTCTTAAGAGCGCCCTTTTCGTGTGAGAGGGGTGAGAGGAGAGGTAATGAACCAAGATGTTTTTACTACTTGGCTTTCGGTACCACTTTGTAATGTAACCATTTTCTGATAGGTGAATTTGTACGTTCAAAAATGGAAGCCATTTTTCTTTCGGCTTTTCTCGGGTGAACTTGATATACTCTGACTGTGCGTTTAACAATTCGAAGCATTTGTCCATTTCCTCTTGTGTTGAGCAAAGGACAAAGCTGTCGTCTACATACCTACAGTAGAGTAGCGGCCCGAGATCAGTCACCGGTGCTTCCACCTTAGACATAAATGGAATGGCAAGGCTTGGAGCCAGTCGTTGTCCCATTGCCAACCCTCTTATTTGAGCGTAGTACTTTCCAGACCATCTGAAAATTGAGCAGCTCAAGCATTCTTTTAAGAGTGCCATCAGATCCTCGCACGCGAATCAAGAACACAGGCGCGAAAAACTCTCGAGGCACTCTGGATTAATTCCAGAAATCCGAAAATGAACCGCAGGGAAGAATGCCTCATTATCACGCGTGATATAGGGCAGTACATAAAACTGCTTTTCTGATGTGAGGGGCACATTATACTTCCATATGATTTCTGTGCGGTTGGTCTCTACGTGACATACTTAGTGGAAACCTCATAGGAAGCGGTGAGTGTGCAAAGCTGTGTTCAAAGTGATTGAAATCTTGGTTTAGAGTTTCTTTGTTTGGTCATGGAGGCGTCTGGCCGAGTAGATTGCTATCAACTTGACTTTTCCAGGCTCTGAGGAAGGCGAAATCCGCCGAAACGTCAGCTTAATCGTGAACAAAGGATAATAACACCTCGTGTTTGCTCAACAAAAATACGAAGAAAATCAATAACTATGTTTCGTATTCACTGTGACTGAATGTTTTCACTACAAGGTAGAACAAGTTAAGCAGCCATATCAGTTCTCTTCATAAACCTGAAACCACTAACTTCTTAAAGCTGATAGCACTATCAATGATAGAGTATGAGACCATCAGTGGTTGTGCTTCATTTCTCGAAGAAATTGTTGAGGTAGTGCGATGGCGGTGTCAAATATCATCGGACTTCTCTTCAAGAACGAATGGTAGCGTTAGTTTTCACTTAATTTATCCAACAAAAGATCATCGATAAGCATAAACGAAATCGATAATCGAAAGTTGTGACTAAAGTCTTTTCTTGTGCAGCGACATTCAGTGCTTAGACAATTGGATAGCTTTCTTTCACAAATAGTACGGCGTGAGTGAAATTTCCAGTTGAACAGGACATTGTTAATTTAGCAAGCTTTTTCCACTGTTTTCGAGGATTACAAGGAACTGTACCCCTCCTCAGCGATGGCGAGCCTGACGATATGAACCTGACTGAGCTTCTTGAATAATCAAATATGTGAATACTTGAATGATCTATCCTAAAGAATCGCACAAAGTTGGACGAACTTTGGCAAAATGTCTATTTAATTGAGACTTGGAGTTCGGAAGAAGTCTTTCTATGGCGTCTCAGGAAACCGAGGCAGAGATCTAACACGTCGCTACGGTACTTACCAGCTATCATAGAATTTGTTTCACCTTAGCCGGTTTTAAGGATGGGAATGGAGAGCCCACTGAACTTTTTGTCAGCACAACAGACGCATTTTAGTGACTTTCCACTTGGCATCACAGCTACCCATTCGGGTACATCCATAGATATGAAGCAACTATAAGTCAGTGGTGGCTGGGGTCGGACTTCTGGTCGATAGTTATGTCGGTCTTCTCGGGTTAAATGACTCCGTTGAAATGATACGCTCCGTGATGGTCTACCATGCAGTCCGACAACGAGGAAAAAATCGCCAACAAGGTGGAGCAAAAAACGTTGGCAGAAACAAAACAGCAAAAACAAGTCCCCACTTAGCTTTCCCGTGTTTGCAAATTCATTTCGTTTCAGGAGTCTCATGATATTATCATATATCAAAGCAAACTTAATGACTATTATCACTACGTCGATCATATCATTTCTTGTCATAGTACTATTCAATACCCTTATTTCACCGTATTTGCATGAGTATTACAGTAAGTTAATAATTTTCAAAAAAAAACTGCAAAGTATACCTTTGAAAAGTAAACATGCAGAAGCACGATAGAAGGGGACTAAATTTGAAGGATTTCTGCAAATATGAAGAACAATAAAAATTGTTGAAAAACAAGGCACACTTATTTTAGCCAACGTGTTCAAAAGAAAATCTACCGTAGACAAAAATCATGGTACTAAAGCTTAAAAAAAAGCTCTCGTGACTCATCAATCCCTGAGAGATGTTCCATGCATTCGACTTCACTAAGCATCGTTTAGAGGTGATTGAATGCATAGCTGGCCTTTACAATGACTCACGGTGGCCGACCGATATATCGAGCCAGTGCTGCTATCCTCCCAGACAAATCTAGTCCAAAGTACCGACCCGGAGGTATGGAAAGCTTGGTGGGCCATGGGCGCGGGTATCGATTCCACGTGTGTGTTGCAGGGTGCCTCCGAACACTGCGCCACACGCGCCCATTTGCAACTAACTGTCATGAAATATAAGCGTAGAAAGACGTAGAGTATTCCAGAACGTATATTGTTTTATGATTCGGCATTGAAGAATATGAAAGAGGCGTTAGAAATGAATTACGACGTGCTTTGGAATCAACCAGACTTTTGCCTTGCGTTTCTTAAGGTTTGTGCCTTTACGATTCCAATAAACAGTAGAAGAAAAAACTATCGCCTGAAGATGTCTATTTGTACTGAATTCTTATATAGCAAAAAAATTTACTCGTGATTTGGTGAAGTTGTTAGGTCCTTCTTCCTTCTTGACCGATTTCTTTTCATCTTACAGTTCCATGAAGCATATCAGACATTTCTGACAGTGGCAAGATCTGATTCGAATGGCAAAGTGGCTAAGGTTTCACGTTACAATAAATACGCCTTTATAGAAATGCATTAGACAGTACTGCTGTTTTTAGTTCAGTGTCTCTTTTGATTTAATTTGGTTTTCTTCACCTTGAATTACTCATGTGAATCCAACACCTTATAAATGAGTATTAAAGGATAAAAAACGATACAACTGTTGTTGGCGAGAAATACTTGGAAGATGAACTATGAACTCGATTCTATTTGTAGCTTTCTACAATCATCTGCATGCATTCTGAGGCTTATCCATGGACCAATACAGTGTTTTTATCCTATCCGGCAAGTTTCGAAGCAACTCGCCGATGTCGGAGAAATGGAAGATTTGATGAGCCGGGCATACGTGTTCGAACCAATGAGCACCGTATATTGCAAAACGCCTCCAACCATTACGCCATAATCGCTTTTCTATGAATCAATATCATGCACCTAAATTTAAAATGAAACAGCTAAGGTAAGGCTGAACTATGTAGGGAAGGAAGTCCTTAGGCCTCAGGAAAGTTTAGCTGTGACATTTAACTAAATTAAATGGTGACCGCTTATTTACCAAGTTAGTAGAAGCCTTTACATCGAGGTCATTCTTTTACTACAATACATTAGACAAGAACTAAATACTGGAATCGATGTCTAGTAATTAATAATGAAGATATTCCTTTACGATAAAGGATAAAAGGATAAAGCTCCCGGCGTTGATCAATCTCTGAGGGGTGCACCATGCATTCTACTTCATTAAGCATTGTTAGAGGTGACCGAACGCATGTCTAGCCTTTACAATGACTCGCTATGGCCTACCGATGTATCGATCCAGTTCTGCTATCCTCCCAGACAAGTCTGCTACCGATTTGTCGACCCTGGAGGGATGGAGGGCTTGCTGGGCCTGCGGCGTGCAAATCGTTCCCAAGAGTGTTGCAGTGCGCCTCCGACCACTGTTCTACACGCGTCCTTCCTTCATGATATAAACGAACGACAAGGAAGAAGCACTCGACGCTTACTAATCCTTTATTGACGAGTCATGCATTATACCCTATTCTTAGCACTGCGGAAGTGTTTGATAAAGTGTTCGACCAATATAATGACTTTCATGGCCTACGAACGTGTCACGTTAGTATTTAGTAGAGAAGTATTTTTTCAACTTGCTCCAGAAAGATGCTCATCATCATCTGCACGGAGCACGGGGTTGGACCATTGACCATGTGGGTATTGCAGGGCACCTCCAACCACAACAACATATGCTCACCTTTATCACTTGGACCGATGACGACACATGCTCCAACTTTCCATGTTGCTTGCTATCGCGGCAGATTTACGAGGAATGACACAAATATGAATGATATTAGTCTGAGTGCATTAAATGGAAATATGAGGGCATCAAAATAATTCTATGCCTCCGATTCTGATGATTTTTAAATGATATGTGATCATTTGATATAAGAGGTCTCTTTTTTATAAACTACTTCATACATACCTTACGGCATGGGGGTGAGTTCGTAGCTTACTACAATGAACCATCCTACTCTTAGAGACGTTTCAACATACCAGTGCGCGGTACATCGTCAACAGATTTAAACGAGTTAAATCAAACTCTCACCCAACTATTCCAGAAAAATCGTAGCAGTTGTCCTAAAACTGTTTGAGAATGAAATAAAAGGTCGTACATTAATTGTCAGTATAACAAGTTCAAACTAACCCCAAGCAAGTTGCTAGGTCAAACAGTACGAGGCCAAACAGCGTAAAGTTGTTGGCTACTGTGCTATATATACTTTCGTTTAAAAAACACGGAAGCATCTTTCTAGTATTTCTGTTTAAATTTATTGACAATGAGTCTGTCAGAAGCATCACGACTCCTTCACACAGCAATAGAAGTCGCCGAAGGATAATTATCCTTCTATCAGTTTCCATCTAAAAAAAAGTAACTATGTAATTGGCTTCACATTTCGGAAAAAGCACAAGAATTAGAACTGTGATGATGAGAAGAACAGGAGAACCATCTGCATCTCTTTCATTAAATGCTCATTTATTTTTAAGCAGGCATTTTATAGTTAACGTTGCCAACTCTTTCAATATAAGAATTTCCTGTTGATCAGTTGGAAGGCTAATTGGTACTTCTTCATCAGATGCAAATTGATTTGGTGATACGTGAGTGTGGTGTAATTTTGGAAAGAAATCCTGCCACCGAATTAGAAAGCGGTTGGGAAGCGGATCGTTGCCGACTTTGACGAACAAGTCCTAAATTTTCACAGTAAATGACCGACAAGAGTAAATCGGCCTCTGGTGGCTATACCGAAACTTCTCTGAATACCCTGGCGGGATGTCAGCAGGTATCTCTTCGAATGAAAACATTAAATAAAGAAGCGCCTTGTATAAAGTACGTGTTATGTATGTCATGTTCCTCTACCCAGCGTAGTTCACTAGGCTGAACGAAGAGAGCATATTTGCTTGAGTTTAATTCGGTTAATCGACGACCGCCAGGGTTATAAGTGTTTATAATCCAACTATCCCTTAACGAAGTATAATAAGCCTCCAGTCTTTGTACAGATGACTATAAGGAATCTACATTTACTTCTTAATATCCAGTGATTAGAAGATGTATTTTCCGACTTCCAAAGGTGAAGATTGATTACTAAAATTATAAAGCCCTCTATGAAACCTGGATATATATGATTTTGCATTCCAGTAAACTTTATCTTCTTCGGCGGTCTAAAGCATCTACGATAAGGATGAAGTTCAATCATAAAATACCCCAAACAAACTGAGGACCAAAAATCTGCAGAAACTTGCGATATGAATTTTGAATACATTTTAAGAAGTTGTCCGAAGCGCTTTCGTAGATGAAGTACAACCATGTTCACATAAGGCGCCCAACGGCAACCAAATCCATATGGAAAAATAATAACGATCTTAAGTATGGAATGAGGTCAAGAGAGTGTTTTCCATGGTTCGTCAGCTTATCGGTTCACTCTAAGCATTTTGGAGCCGCTCTAGGCTCCAAAATGTCTCAGTATGAAGAAATTGATTTTTGTGCTCAGAGGTGGGCCAAAATTCGGATGGTCACATTGATGCTAGAAATTTTATAAAAGTACAACCCCAATGATGCAGAGATATTTGCAAAACTCTGACGCCAGGCCAACCGGCGATCACTTGCTATTCACTGCACCAATGAAGCTCTTGATTTGCCTTCCTCTAATCGTATCTTTTACCAAGCGGAAAACGTAACTGCGGGTTTGAATCAAGCCTGGGGTCTGGTAAAATCGTCACTAGCATTGTGGCTACATTCACATAATACCTTATTGTGGAAGAAAGACAGTAAGCAAAAAGTTACCCATTTTGTAAAAATGGTTAAGAACAATGTATGGGCAATATCAATTGTGACTTTATGCTTACAACACTGAGCAGGAGATTACGACCACTGAAAGTTGTAGCGGCTTATCATAGCTGCTGTTGAACTCGATCACGAAGAAATAGACAACGGGCGAGGATTACCTGTCAACCTGCTTATCGTCGAGTGACTTGAACAGGCGACAATAAATATTCTAACTCTTCCTGTCACATGCAATAGTAGCTCAGCGGATTCTGCTCTCTCTACGAACTCGTCTAATAACATATCTTTCTTCTAGGGTTTTCTTAAGGAACTCTAACCATCCGATTGGTGTTCTTCCTGCGGTACTTTTGACATCCTGGGGAATCCTATCACTAACGGCTCTTATCCATCGGTTGCTGTTCACGCGAATTACGTGTCCGCCCATCTCATTTTCGGCAGTTTGGTGTACAGAACTGTGTTTTCGATTTCTGATCGTTGACGTAGATCGGAGCTTCGGAGCTTCGGATCTCTTCCAGCACTTGTGTGATACGCGATGCTCTTAGTATCACCGTTTCGACTGCGCATTCAATAACGCTGACTGATCTTTCATTCTTCCTACTCAACAACCAGGTTTCTCACGCATACGTTAATGCAAGAAGTATCGTTGAGTCGAAAAGATGGGCACGGAGTCGGGTGTTCTTTGTTCTCTTCACTACATCCTCGATGCTCTTGAAAGGTCCCCAAGCCGCTCACGTCCTTCTGCTCAACTCAGAGGCTAAGTCGTTCGTCATTTTGATTTCCCGATCTTGTTATAAGAACGATGTCACCAGCAAAGCGAAGAGGGTGTAATTATTGGTCACCGATTTTCACTCCTATTTTGTCCCATTCCAATGCGCACGTGAAGTTTTGGAGAGTGATGGTAAAATTTCGGCTAGATGGCACCGCCTCTCCCCTCTTTTGACGTCGATGTTAATGCTGCTATGGAATAGCCAAATTTTAGTTGTGAAATTTTTTTGAAGTTAGCGAAGAATCTTTATATAATGAGAAGAGTCGCCCTCGCTATGCAGGGCTCCCGCGAACGCTTCTATCTCAACCAATTCAAAAGCTTTCTTAAAATCGGCAAAAGTGAGAGAAGCGTTCTCTTTTGCTGTCGCGATACTTCAATTAGTCTTGTTAATGTGTGGATGTGCTTCAATGTACCGCGCCCTAATCGAAAGCCTGGTTGCTCACATGGCTGTCGTTCGCCCAGTGTCCTATCAGTCCTGTTTAGGATGAATCGAGTGAAAGTATGCAGACGACTGACTCCAAGCAAATTTGGCACTAGTCGCCAATATTGTGGCGGTCACCATACAATAACAAAGTCTTGTCTGTCTTCCATTGAATAGGAACGTTATATTCCCACAGGAACGCGTAGACAGCTGAGCCAGTGTGTTTAGGAGGACAGGCGGAAGGTGCCTCAAGTGTTCTGATCTTATCCTGTCCGGACTCTGCATTGTTTACTCTTCAACAACGAAATGACATCTCAGATTTTTTGAAAAGAATAACAGTTGAAATTACATGTCCAAGCTTCTTTATTTCATATGAAAGCAGAAAGATATGGCTGTTAAAGAATTCAGAACACTATTTATAGACACTTTTCTTTATTGCTTTTTGGAAGGCATAGCTGTTTCACTTGCATGTCGGAGTGCTATCATCTTAATCCTACAGCGAAGTTTCAGTGGATTTTGCGAATACCTTTCCCACTCTCTGGATCTTTGACCATGATTGCTGCCCTTCTCTCTTTTACATCATTCTTTAATCGCAAGTCTGCACTGTTTTCAAAACGGACATGAGTTAGCGGCTCGCTGTAACTCGTACAATTCCACCCCGGCCTATCATCTCCAACGTTTCTGGGAACAAACGTCTATTGGTTATTTTAACTTGAAGCTTCCTTGAACTCTCAGTTTTCATAGCGCTAACGGAAAAGTGTTGAGTGGTTCATATCCTAGTTAATGTTGTTAAGAACTGCGGCTTCGCAACAACCGACTAATGAACTGCATAAGTCCCAATTTGTAGTAGTTCTGCGACATCGTTTGTTGAAGTTAGTGGCTTTTCTCCTTTCCACGAAAAATTAAACATTGTACGAAGACAGTGGTGGTCTGATCTCGTGTAGAATTTCGAGACAACAGCGACATCGGTGAGACAAAATCTTCGATATACTATGATGTGGCCTATTCCGTTGTCGTACTCTTCATTGGGAGACTCTCAGGTCCAGCGTTGAGGGTGGGGCTTCTAGAATTGCGAGCTACCATGAACGGTCTTGGTCATCATGATAAACTCGGGTAGCCGCTTACTCTGATCGCTCCATTCTAATTTGTGGGTTCCAAGGTGACGTTCCTCTGAAGTTCTTCAGCGTCCAATATTAGCGTCAAACTCGCCAATGATGACCTTCAAGAATGTACGCCTACCTTGTAGAACTTCTCCAAGTTCATAGAAAACGGTTTGAACTCACTTTTGCCATAGCTTGATGTCGGCACGTAAACGACGAAGATTGTCAAAACTAGTATTCATCCACATTTCTTCAACCATAAACGTCCTATTAGGGCTTTTACTTCTTCGAACGAATCGATGTTCACGCTCATACTCGTTTTGACGAGAACGGTCCGAAGCAGTCCACTCCTCTACTGTCGCATGCTTCAAGGAACAGTCTTAATCCGGTGCTATAGAAGAAGCTAAGTGGATGGCATCTTCTCGTCTCAGCCAGTTCAATGGCATCGTACTTTGTTCATCTTCTCTGCATGACAAGTCTTCTATCGAGGACTCAGATTCAAGTGTGCGTTCATGGTAGAAACAGATCGTTGCCTTAGTCCTTTGCGATTTAGGTAGCCTAGAATGACCCTGAAATCTTACCTCTCCATACTCGTTCTACCCAGCACTGCCGTATCGAAGGTGTCCTTGGAGACGACTCCTAACGATCTCCCATGCTATTAGCCGAATCGACTCGCTGAATACAGCCCGCATAAACGAGAACTTTTCCACTCGCGCATGCATAAATACGTTCTCGTAAATATAAAAGTTATGGACTAATTCGCCGCAGCAGAAAGAGAAAGTCCACTCCTAGGTTAAACTGCGTCTCAGGGAAGCAAATGTGACTTTTGGCCGACGATTGACCTGGGGTCGCACCACCTTACCTCGCGGCTAACAGGCATGACATCCTTCTATGAGGAAGATCTATGGCGCTCAGTTGTAAAAGAAACTATTTGTTTTTTTTCGATCCATAATATATTATACTAATACCGACAAAGGACCAATTAGATGATGAAGTTTATCTTATTCATAGAAAAATATTTCATCTTATTTCACACCGGTTCACATTGAAGGTGCCGTAAAGTACAATTTCCGATCGATATTTATCGTTTAGAGTTTCTGAATCATATTTCTGTAACTCCTGCTGAAAATGACAAAGTATTAAAAAAGCTTCTTCCTATGGAATCAGCTGAATTCGATATTGTAGCAATAATATGAAGTTCTGAGTTTAAGTCCAATTTATCATCAACCGACACCGGTTCTGAAGTGTCTGAAAAGACGAAGACAAATATGTTGCCTGTATACGTCTCAAAAAACAGGTTTTCTACTATATCAACTGCCATTTCTTTATGTTGATTTAATAAAATATTGTTCAGACAATACGTGGTACCCTATTAAAACCCACTCAACAGCCTCCCTGGTACAATAGAAGAATCCTTGAGGAGGAAAGACCTGATCTAGCTGGACTCGATGGCAAAATACGCTTAGAGGTATGGTTAATACGCAATGCAGAACGGATGCCAGTAAACCTCAAAATTCCTGCTCAATAACAGAGAGAAGAAGCTGCCTTGATGGATATGTTCATCCGAGAAAAGAGTTATATTCAACCTGGAGATCTAATCGTAACTGATGACAAGTTGGCTCCATAAAATCACCCGTAAACAACTTTATGTTTTTTTTCGACGTCTTCTGATTTTATAATATTAACGATTGCATTAGTATGCGGTTCGAAAGTACTGCTATTAAAATAAAGCTAGGTTATTACAGTTTGGATGAAGAAAATCGCAGATTTAATCGTTACGAAGTACAGCTAAAATACAACGAAGGACGATAGACGGCAGTTTATCTCATATCTTGACAGATTTGCGCCAAGACGGTATCATCAGATAATTCTTCGTATTTTTGTTGAGCAAACGCGAGGTGCGAGGAAACGCGTTTGCTCAACAAAAATACGAAGAATTACTTGATCAATGCCGAGGTTAATAGAAAGTCGGTCGTGGGAGGTATCATCAGAGTTCATAGTCGTTTAAGAGCCAGGGAATATAACGATTCGAAATGAAGTAGCGAATGTTAGGGGTAGTACCCCCTCATGATATCAGCCTAAATCTGAGTCTAATCACCCATTATAACTTCCAGTTAAGTGCTTTATTAAAAGAAACTGTTTTCTTTCGCTGAAGCCCCGCGCAAGAGTACCTACACTCGAAGCATTTTCCCATCAATGTAGATTTCAAGGAGGTTTGCCGCCCACTATGATTGAGTCTCTTGAAGAGAGACAGAGGTCTTTGACAAACATTTATCGTCGAATCAAATACAAAGGATGCTTTTCTTCTTCTGAGCGTTTGTGATTCTGATAGACTGTAATGGATTGTGAATTAAAATTCTGTTCTACTGCGGCGTTCGGCACCCAGGAACCACATGCTGTCACAAGGTGACGCTAAACACTAGAGAGCTTCCTGAAGGGCAAATTAGAGTCGCAAAAAAAATAAAGCTAAGAAATAAAAAATGAATTTTTAGCAAATTTTTCGCCATGGTTTGTAGACAACACGTTAACAATACTACTCAGTTTTCCAATACGCTGTACATGATTAACACACCTGTCTTCGTAAGAGGGGCGCGTGTGGTCCAGTGGTCGGAGGTGCCCCGCAGCACACACATGAAATCGATCCCCGCGCCTGCGGATAACCAAGCCTTCCATCTCTCCGAGGTCGGCAAATTGGTACCAGACTTGTCTGCGAGGATAGCACCACTGGCTCGATGCATGGGTAGGACACCGCGAGTAATTGTAAAAATCAGATATGCACTCAATCACCTCCAAACGATGTTTAATGAAGTCGAATGCATGGCGCATCCCTCACGGATTGATCAGTGTCGGGAGCTTTATCATTTTTTTTATCCTTTTACATCTTTGTAAGAACAAAAACCTGGTGCATATATTAAACAAAATATTGCTACAGTAACGAAACCGTGGAGAAGAACACAATTTTCGCTATGAAAACCAGTCTACGACCGTACAGTGTGAATATCATCTTGGGAATGAAGGTTCGTTTAACACACAGTGCAGCGGGTCGCGGTAATAGGAAAGTGGCAAGCGGCGCAAGCATAACAGCAATTCAACACTAATACCTTTTCCACTACCCTATAATTTATAGAAAAAATAAAAGCAATTGGTCGAAGAACTCCGCGAACAAATTGGAATATTCAGACCGTCCACGGCCTATTTAATTGCACACGAGACTCTTTGTGCAATAACGGTTTGTTTTTTTCTCTCTCATTATTCGCCCTTTAAGAAGCGATTCCCTGAGCGACCAAAGCGATCCATCGTTCCCGGATTGTCAAACTATAGCCAAGGTTGCTTCGGAAAAACTCCCTCTGGTCCATCATATCAAGCGAATACGGTGATCTCTGATAACGATCTGTAGGAAAACTTTCCCTCGAGTGCAGAAAAAATCAACTCCGCCATTATTTGAAGACATCCATAAAGAAGATTGAATCATTCCACACGCAAACCCGAGAGTTCTCGTGGATGACGGATGCAAGACAAAGAACCACATGATATAGGTGCTAGGAACCACTTAATACGTGATGTCGCATCCATCATTCAAAATAAAAAGATACACTAAAAAGAGAACCGTAAAAAGAAGGAAAGTGAAAAAGAGGAAAACAAAGATATGGAGACATTTCAGTGTTTACAAATTTTTTTAACCTATAAGTCAACTAAAAAGAACTGTTGAAATGAGTACAGTTGATTTTAACACCATATGACAACTTTTCCCACAGTTTCTTCACGCGCTAAAATATATCCATCGAGATTTTAAATTAACAGATTTGTGCGTTGGTGCTGGTCCGATGTCTACGAGAATTTATCTGATCGATTATGGCGATACGGTAAAAAAGGGAAGAAAATATTTGGTATTAGGTATTTGATATTCACGCTGTTTTTTAGAACTTAAGTCAGCAAAAAAATGACTAGGTTATTACCCTTTAAATGGTTAGCCTTAGCTGGCCCCAAGCGGACTTGAAACACCGACTTTACCTTTGAGTTAAATTATGACTCATTTCGTTACACTTCCGCTCCATATACCTTTCTTTTGAAGTCGTTAAGCAATGCTGCCAATTCTATCACCATAAGACAACCTCATATCGTTGAATTTCAGATATGGAATACCTGAAGGCTATACTTTGCCATATTGGAGCTTGGATGCTCATACTCGCTCAGTAGCTCGCGAAAAAGGCGATATCGAGTCGTAGTTCTACGTTTTGCTCGAAATGCACGAATGTTTGATTTTATCCTTTCTTCTTTTTTCGCCATTTTCCATTGTTCCTCAATGATGGGATAACAGTAAAAAAGACGATTTAGTACACGGCTACTTTACCGTGTTTTATGGATTTCGACACGCCGGCAGGACGTTTAGTAGCTGTAATCGTTCGGATGCATTGTATTATAAGCGCTTCTTATGTCGCGCGCTATTTAGGCGAAGCGTTTAGGCAAAATAGTTAGTTCATTTCAGGCTTTCACCCGGATGTTTGCCTTCGATAAAAATGCTCGATGAAGCTGAAATCGAGAAGGCTAAAGTCGCAGCTTGGCAAGGTAATCAATAATTGCATTTGGCCACCCTTCAAAAATATTTTATTATCTTCAGATGATCCGGGAGGTATTACGCACAAATGAGAGGGCTGGCAATGGGACAACGACTGGCACCGAGCCTTGCCATTGCATTCTGTCTAAGGTAGAAGCGCTAGTAATCGACCTCGGTCCGTTACTCTACTGTAGATATATAGATGACTGCTTGGTCATTTGTTCAACGCAAGAAGAAATCGACAGATGTTTCGAGTTGTTGAACGAACAGTCAGAGTATATTAAATTCACCCGAAAGAAACCAAAAGAAGATTGGCTTCCATTTCTGAACGTGCAAATTAGCCTATCAGAAAACGGCTACATTACGAAGTGGTATCGAAAGCCAAGTAGTAAAAACATCCTAGTTCATTACCTCTCCTCTCATCCCTCTCACACGAAAAGGGCGCTTGTGAGAAACATGTATCGAACGGCTACCAGCGTGTGCACAGGGAGACAACAGAGATAGGAGTCCCGGAACTTGGCACGGCAAATAGCCATTTTTAATGGCTACGAAACCGTAGCTCCAGATAGGTGTAGAGGAAACCACAGGTACCCCAACGATAACTCTAGCGACAACAAGGTCTCGTTTATACTGCCCTTCATTTCAAATGAAGTAAGTGCAGCTACAAAACGCTGTTTAAGAAGGGCCAGTCTAGAGAATTCGATAACGATAATCGAAATACCACCGAGTAATCTAAGGCGCCAGCTAGTTCGTAACCGTCTATACGACCGTCTATGTGCAACGCAAAATTGCTTAATTTGTCCCAATGGTAGAGACGGTGACTTCATGAGTTCGGGTACAGTCTATTTGATCTCTTGTAAAGCGTGCGGGGACGATAAAAGAACACCTAGTCGGCAAACGTAAGCCAAGTACTCACTAGGTACGCTTAGCACGCAGAAACATAACGGAGAAGATTTTGAAGTAAGGGTTACGATCCTCGCGCAAGAATCGAGAACACAAGCGCTCAAAACTCTAGAGACATTCTGGATTAATTCCAAGAATCCAAAAATGAACCGCAGGGAGGAATGCCTCGTTATCACGCGCGATATTGGACAGTATATAAACCTGTTATTCTGATGGGAGGGGCACATTACGCTTCCATGTGAATTTGGTGCGGTCGGTCTTCACGCGACATACTCAGTGGAAGACTCATAGAAAGCGATGAGTGTGCAAAGAGGCTATTCTGTGTTCAACGTGATTGAAATCTTGATTTAGCGTTTTCTCTGTTTGGTTATAGAGGTGTTTGGCCGAATGGATTGCTGTCAACTTAACCCTTCCAGGCTCTGAGGAAGGCGAAATCCGCCGAAACGTCAGTTTGTGCGTAAATAAAGAAATAAAGGAGCACCTCGTATTTGCTGAACAGAAATAGAAAAAATAATTTATTAGTTAAAACCGTGATACATTAAATGTTACTTATGAGCTGAGTTCACGTATTGTGCAGATCTTAGTATCCATTTCATTCCACTCGCTGTCTTGCATCCATCATCAATTATAGTTTCGAATCTACCACGCTGTTCCGTTGCTCGTTGATTTGGTCTTTTCATGAACGTCTTTGATTTCTGGTCGAGTGGACTCTCCCTGGAATCTTGAGATGGCTCTGCTATAACATTCTCAGGTTTTCACCTGAGCATACATCAGTCGTTTTCCATCGGAGTTATCTTTCTTCAGGCAAAACTGCCATCAATTTTCTAACTCCAGAAGAGTTGTGGCTTTGTTCGGGATAGAGCGAGATCGAACCAGCAACAAAGCGTGTATTATAAGGCACACCATCAATTTTTAATACTGAATTCATCTATCAGCTTTTAATAGCCGATAGTAGTGAATAATGTGGCGGACCCTATGATTCATATGATAATAAAAAACTGCGCTTAAAAACACTCTGATAAAGAAAAATTGAGATTTTGCATATGGAACATTGGGGAGCGTGTAGCGCAGAGATCGGAGGCGTTTTGCAATACACATGCGATTGATCCCGCGCCCCTTGTTCACCAAGCCTTCCAACTTTCCGGTGTCGAGAAATTGGTACAGGACTTTTCTGAGAGGATAGCAGCACTTGCTCCATACATCGCTAGTCATTGTAACCGCTAGTAATTGTAAAGACTAGGTATCTCCAACGATGCTTAAAAAGTCGAATGCATGGTGCATCCCTCAGGAACTGATCAGCTCCAATAGCTCATGGATGTCCTTTTTCTCTTATCCTTTTTATTTATGGATGATTGCTTCACACGTTGAAAGAAATAGCACATGATAAATATGAAACTATTTATGAGAAGAACGTAAACAGAAATATAGAAAAGGTCCTAAAACCTTTTTTTAAGATTACTCTGCATTTGAAAATGGCAACCCATTACTTTCTTCATTGCATATTCATATGATATTCGAACTTATTCGAAGCACTCGTGATTCATTCGATTACGATCTCGCTAGGAAAATTGTTTGTGAAGCTCTGGACAGTAACTTAAATGGGTATGCTGCTCAGTTAATGCTTATATTTCTTAAAAATTTCGCATTCCCAACACACTATATTCATCTCTACAATTAAATTACACTGTTTATTTAACCTATTTGTGTTTTTGATTGCCTGGAATTAAAAACCGAAGTAGGCAAACCCATTCAGGCCATTGATTCTCGAATGGGCGCCAAATACACGCGTAGCCTTACCACCATTAGAAGGCCAACGGATTACCACTCAAGCTAAAGGAATACAAAGAGTCATGACACCACAAGCGAAATTACAAAGGGTGGTTATGGACAAATTACTACAGCAAGTTGACCGTGCATATGAAGGGACAATGGCTAATCAACAACAAAGGAGGCAATTGACGGCCGAAGGAACAATGGCGACGGTGGGAAGTGATGAGAAGCTGATGAGGAATAATCGCCAACAAAAGACACCACGAGAGCGAACGCCATGAAAGGGTCCAACTCAAACCAAACAACAAGTGATTAGGAAACCACCCATATATCGCAAATAGGAAAAGTTGCAGTACCGGACAACGAACTAAGCAGTGATGTATAACTACGTTACCATCAACAATGTTCTATAAAGTAGATAACATTACAATAAGAACAGAAGTGTTCAACTTACCGTAACCTTTGAATGTGATCCCACTCTTTTTCCTATTATTAGTTCAGTAAACAGTTCGTACTTCTTGATTATTGTACTGCTCCGTGTAACGCCACAACAAGAAAAAGGACAACTGAAAACCCCTTTGTTCACGTTGAACCGAAAAAAAAGCCAAGAAGACTTTTTCTTACCTTGACTTTATGGTTGCCAATTGCAAGTTCCTTCAGGTGTGTGGAAAAATCTCATAAGGAATTGAAGATTTTTCCGCTATATGAATGGACATCACATATTGTGGGAAAGCAGGCATTTCTTTGATCCGTTTTATTTTCTACAACGATTACGCATGGAGGTCATCAGATTTGCATAGGGGTACTGTAGTGAATGTTTCGTCTTCTTTATGACCGATCTTGAATGCTGGTTGAGAAAACTTCCCCCAATCCTGTGATAAGCCGCTTCTGCCGTTCCCAGGTCTTCACCATTAGCAGACGCCAGCCTTGAAGCCAGCTAACAAAACAACGAACACTATTTTATACTGGGGGTAAGCTATCTCCTAAATTTCATTTTCGGGTACCTCATCTTGTATCTATCGAGTGTTACTAGTTTTTAGTGAATTTTTTAGATTTATTAGTTGATAGTAGCTGGCTCGATTCTGCATCACAGGCAAAGCAACTCTCCAATCCATCCAGTGTAAGAAAGAACACAAAAAAACTGATTTGACACATCGCGAAGTTCAACAGGTCACTCCATAAGCCATATATGCATTTAGTAACGTATAATGTTACGAATTGAGTTGAATGCGCAACACATTACTCAGGTATCGATCATCACTAAGCGCCTCGTCTTACATGTTTCATTGAATGTTGATGTTACTCTGGTACATTCTATTCAAGAAAACCTGTCTACTCCATTTTCATATCAAATTTGACGCTTTTATGGATTCAGCCACATAAACATGAGGATGGAATGACGAAATGAGACAAAAAGAAAGTCGTTCACCATAAAAATGAAGGCTGTTTATTAATCACAACAATTTCATAACAAGTCCACGAACCACTCATAAAGCAAATTATAAACCATTAGGTAGAAAGAATTGATGGGGAGTTGTTTAAAAATCTAAAATTATCTCAATCCTTGTGTGCAGTAACATGGCAAAGAAGTTCAAGAAGGCTCCAGTGTCCAACAAACTTCTAAGATAAACCTGACCGCAATTGAGAGGATCACTTCAAATGCTGGAAAGTCAAATAGAAACCTTCAAGGTATTGATGAGTCCGTACTGGCATCAGTGTCTAGAACAACTGCAGCATCTGCATCTTCACCAAGTATCTGAAAAAAAGAACGAATCCCATAGATGAACTACACTAGGACGTGCTATATTTCCCTTCATAGAGTTCCTGGACCCACTGTCACATGCTCGGATCCAAATATTTGTTCCTTTCAGTTTGTGTTTTCGCAACCGCTAGACCCTTCATTCAAGCAGGTAGTCTAGTGCAAGTGCGAGTTCAGTTGCAGCACGATTTTTTATCTCTCCCTCTCCCTCCTTGACACCGTGGATTGTTCTTTCTTTTGGAATCATTGCATAGCTATGCAAAGGCGATCCCAGATTTCCACCACAAGTAATGGCCTTTTTGGATCAGAGAGAAGTGTGCTGCTTCGCGTATATGACTCTTCCAAAACATCAGCGATACTGCTTTCCATGAATTCTTCTCGAATTTGAGCATTTTCAAAAAGCAAATCGGACGGTGGCGGTGAAGACCCATCTGGTGATCGTGCTGCTGAATGGCCGGGAACAGTGTTATTCACAACCCTAAGATATGATGGATTTCTTTATAATGTGGCCAATTTTCAATTCGTAGAGAGCAAACGAAAGCTTCTATTAACCAATGTGGAAGTCCTTTTCTCAAACGTCATCAATATTGTTTTCCTACGCCTAAGTAGATAATATGCTACAAGGATCCTCGGCATTCGGGTCTAACAATAAGTTGGTTCCATCAAAAAATTTGTTGTGTTAGAAAAGTGAGTCATATTCCTGACTGAGAACCCGTATTCAGCAGTATGAAGGATCTTCGAGAAAATCTTCAGAGTTCTACTTCACGGAATAACTGTGGGCTAGTCACATTAGAAAAGGCTTCATCCGGTCTATAGCGTCAAAAAGGCCTCCCTTCTGAAAACAGGTTTTTAGTTTGCGGCTCAGTCGGATCTTTTCACTGGTCATATGATTCTTTGATTCAGTGTAGAACGATGACACTTACAAAACCTCCTCAGCTTGTAAAATTACGACGATCTAAATGAGGTTTGTGCGAATGAAATTTATCATCACATCTGATTTTCCCTATCGGGAAGTGAATTTCCTCAGAAAAATATCAAAACAGGAGACTACTAAGGAGACTTCTATCGATGTTTCCATTACCTAATCTAGGTTTTTTAATCTTTCATTCCCCAAACTCTTGTTGAGACACGAGCACTCTATGACGTTATCAAGAGTAATCGAAGAGGAAATCTATTCTTGGACATGATGAGCAACTGGCACAGCGCGTATGCAACACCTGGAAAATCTCACCTGGCACAATTCGGCTAGTCGTTCCTTCATCTGCGGTACTTCACTTAATTTTCCTTCGATTTGTCGCTTTTCGTCCGAAAGCGATAATCGCTCGCCGATTGTCGAATTGCTTAGCGCACTAAGTCGATAGCCACCTTCGCCGTCATATTGTAGCAGATGTGTATGGAATTTCCTATAGAATGAAATAAACACTTCACATCAAGAACAGATTCGATCTGTCTTGCTGCAGAAAAGAAGTCATACCATAAACTCGGTCTGTGAGTGACAGTAAGAAGGGTAATTCCAGCGTCCTTTATTGCCTGATAAATGCTTCCTTCTACGTCAATAGAAACGGCTGATGTGCATTCATCCAAAAGAGCATACTGAGGTCTGAAATTTCTTGTTGTGGTGCATTCCTGTGTTGAGTGACAAAAATGACCATACGGAAATGTGAACACAACCCTAGCTAAAGCCTTCATGAATCAAATCTCAAGTAGGCAACACTTAAAGCATTTGAGGTTACTTGACGACATCACTTTTATCACCCGAATCATTTGTAAACCATTTAATCACCGACTAACTCACACAATGCGATTAAATACTCTATTCGTCGTTTTCGGGTCTCAGAGCTACCTAGTTAGTCTCGCTGCATCGGAGAAAACGGCGTTCTTCATACTTTACGGTATAAAGTTGCTTATTTTTCTTAGTTTATGGCTAGAACGTGACCACGGCTGGTTCACCGATCCCTGCTGTTGCATAGGTTTATTCTTAGCCAAGCTTAGCGATAAAAATGTCAAACTGAGCTGCGATCAGCCCACTATCGGGAAGAACTACTATTATGAATTGCAGTTTGATAACCAAACCTTCATAGCATGGTTAGGCAGTAAACAAAGGAGGGTTAGCTTACATAAAGCCACAAATGCGTATAAGCTGTATCACATGTGACTCTGTCAATAATCGGATGATTCCAGTCAACACCAATAAATTCGATTTCACCATGTGGTACACCAAAACTGCTTAGTGGACCATACACGCTCGAAAGATATGAAGAACTTTACACTTTTGAAGTGTTGCTAATTTTTTATCTTCGAGAGAAGGTAACCAAGGCTTGCTAGCCGGGCTGTGCCATGACATAGACATGCTCCTAACTGGATTTCTAGATTAATGTGCTGGATTTTTTCAAACTGGAAGGTTTCTCAACTTCGAAGTTCATTTTGGCTCAGTTACACCACCGCTATATAACACAATTCGACACTCAAAAGTACTAACCACACATGACAGCAAGGTGAAAACTATTCGGAAGATAAATGTGGACAATGAAAGCAAATCAAAAAACGACGATGACTCACGGTGAAATAAAACAAGTGCAAAAAAACCCGAAGACTAAAATGGTACCTGTGGTAAAATACTCTGGCTAAGCCAACTCGTTGTTTCTCACCACCGGAAAGTACATCCATCCAATCGTTCACTGCGTTCCATCCTGAAGCTTTTGCAAAGTAAACTTGCTCACTAAATAAAGTCGACGTATCTTCGAACGACGTTTCAAGTATTAACAAACCATTCCCATAAGTTCGACAACCTAATGAAAAAATCGTTGTAAAAAAATTACCACTTGTTATTTTCTTAACGTTTCATACCAAGTGTCTACAAATTTACCACTTACTTAGATACGTGGACGGCCCATCTTCACTGGTTGTGAGGGTCCTAGCATAATTTCCATTGTTTCGGAGTTTTCTTATTTTAAACACTATGGTTTCTTTGAGTCCCGCGGTCAGCCAGGCCAAAGTATGCCCCAGGTCGTCACTACCACAAGCAGTCGCCGCCCTTGTGGACTAGAGAAGATTTACCATCATTCCACTGGTTCGATGCCAGGACGGTGGCGGATCCTGGTATCGGTTTCCTCTTACCTGGTTTCCTGATGGAAACGCCGGACTCATTCTCAGCTTAGGAGACCCTTCTGGAGGGATGAACCTACCCGCTGTACATCCCAACCCGACACCCAGGAACACCACCCCAACCACGATGAAGCGGTAAACGGTTGGGAGTCTATCAATTTTCTAAGTAAAAACAATCAAAGGAACAAATAAGAGCTAGATAATCGGCCAAAAGTCTTACCTCCGTCTCTGTCCACTATATGCGATAAATGAACAGTTTTTAGGATCTCTACCAGATCCAGGTCGGTGACACCTTTCCGATACATTTTAAAGGCTGTGTCTGGATAAATTACCTATAAAGTGAGAACCACTGAAGAAATTTCCTAGGACATATAAGAACAAGGTCCTAAATTCTTTTGAATTATTAGTCTTAACTTTTTCAAACAGCTTTCAATTATAAAGGAAAGGTAATAAAATAATAATGAGGAGCAACTCGTGCAGGGTTGACAAATTCTTCAAGAATGCACCATGACTTCCATTCTATTCACAGCACCGTGCTGATAGATGAAAGAATATTTAGCCCATTCAATGATTGAAACAGACTCATCGATGTATCGAGTCAGTGTTTTGCTCGTCCTCGCAGACAACTTTGATACAACTCTCAAGGCGCGGTTAGCTCAATGGTAGAGATGACGTTCAATATACGCAAAGCCCTGCGATACTCACAACAAATATCAATGTCCTTTGTTCGTACTAGCTAGAAAATAGATAATTCAAGAAACACTGGCAATTATTCACTAATTTTCAGTTTCTTAAACAAGGAGAAGAGACAATTTATGTGATTATCCTGGAAAGAATTTCATTTCCTATCATGCTACGCTCTACACTGACACCATCTTTGTCTGGAATTAGCTCACTCCGACCAGTCTACAAAAGCTGGCGACGACCGCTTGTGGTGAACACCTGGGAACGCAATGCCATAGCACAAGTATACAAAAGTTCCAGGTAGAATATACTCTACAAATATTCATAAAGTAGGCCGAAAAGATTAAACAGCAGCCCAACTCACTCCGGAATCCTAAGATCTTCATAGATCATGGATGCCACTAAACAATCCAAATCAAAAGCTGAAAGGATGTCCAAAATGTGTAACGTCGTGCTGCATAAACAAAAAAAAAATTTGCAGATCCCGGATGAATAGAAGCTCGACTTGGGTAGCCCATTAGATCGAACGAAGTCCCACGTCTTTACAGCAAAGCACCTCTAACCGCTGTGTTCTACACGCCCTCACACTTCTGAGTGGCCTGAAGGATCCGAAAGTAAAAGAAAAATAAACTAAGGAGTATATAGCGCTCATTATTGGCAAGGACCAGGTTTATAAAAAAAAATCCACCAAAATCCACATTTCAGCCGATAACTAACTAATAATATGATTCAATAGTTACACTAATAAAAGAGCGCGTAGGTGATCCACCTCACAGCGTGGGTAGACCAGCCCACCCACACGTTGGTTGCTGGTTCGCCTCCTCCTGAGCGTACCAAGCTTCTCATCCCTCCGAGGTCAGGAAACTGGTAACAAATCTGTCTGAAACAGGATCACTCTCTGTAATCCACGTACGACCGCCCTAGCACGGGTATCTCAGGGTTCCAGAGAAAGTCGGCTCAAACACCATTCAACATCCTTGGCTAAAACGAAAAAATGCTCGAGCAGCAGCCGAATCCACATGAAGAAAACAAGTCCGAAGACTTTAGCGAATGATTGATGCGAAAACGAGTTGAATGCAAGAAGTGCTGGGATCCTCACAATGTGATACATGTGATTTCGGATTATATAATAATTATTTTAAACAAACACAGTATCATTTCAATCTGTGCTACCACACTTACTTGATCTCGTAATGTGCCAAGAGTCATGTACGGTCGTTGTGGTATGTAGTACATTCGATCTGTTCGTGGTCGCTCCAATCTACCTCTATACACAGGCCATAATCCCCCAAGAATACGAAACAGTGAACTTTTACCACAACCGTTCGGACCAGTAATCAACACGTGCATGCCCGGTTTGATCTGGAAGTATGAGAAATGAGAAGAATTTCTGTATTTAAACGCGTATCATGGTTTCCTAGCTTCTTTTCTGGTTTACATAAATGACCGATAAAGGAATATAAACTAGAGCTTGCGATATCTAGTTACAAATACGATAGTTAGTTACAATGTTACAAAGATCCGTATGCGATGGGCGCGTGTGGCGCAATGCTCGGAGGCGCTCTGCAATAGACATGGGATCGATTCCCGCGCCACTGGCCCACCAAGCCTACCATCCCTTCGGGAGTCGGTAAAGTGGTACCGGACTTGTCTGGAAAGATAACAACACTGGCTCGATGCATCGTTATTCCACTGCTAGTCATTGTAAAGGCCGTATATGCATTCAATCACCTCCGAACGATGCTTGATTTCGAATGCATGGCGCATCCCTAAAGGATTGATCAACGTCAAGAGCTTTGTCCTTTTTTTATGATGACTGTGTATACGAGGACTTCGCCTGTAAAAATACTTCCAAAGGGAGCTACTTTGTATGCCTAATCATTACGACGAATCCACCCACCAGTGGCTGTTATCTTATTAGAACCAGTAGAGACGGAAGGCTATTCATATGAATAGCGTGATGCGGTTCTTGTAGCACCATCGAACGGAGTGGGTAGCTCTAATAAGTGGGGCGGATAGTGCTCGATTTATTTGACAGCTAACTGAATGTAGCTGATACAGTTCCCTTCACAGAAATGCTTGGTCATCGAGTGGAATTATCGAATATAGAACAAAAGGATTGGCTGAAGGCTGGCTTGCGAGCAGGCCTGGAACTTTGACCTCATGCAGTCGACTGGTGCCTCATTCGCATGAAGCATAGCCTTTTTGAATTCCATTGATTGGATTTATCTGCGACGAAACAAATGGCCCACTTAAAGAATAGAAGTAGTACATCGAAATATTCTTAATCAACTAATATAATCAACAATACAAATACCTCAATAGACATATCCTTCACTACAATATCCCCATTTGGAGTAACAATTGGAACATTTATAAGGACAATCGAGTCATCGACTGATTCCACTACTTTTCCTGAAATTCGGAGTAGGACAAGTGTGTGCGGTATTCAAACGCTTCATTATCATTTCTTTTTCCTCACTAGAATGAAAAGTTTCATGTTTAGCTCCAAGAACAAAGATGTTCGCGATTGAAGAAGTTACGGCAAAGATCTTGCAGTTCATTTCACACTTTCCAGAATCTTACAGTATCTATAACTTTCACTACACCTCCATTACTGCTTTCGTGGATTATTGAGCTCAAATGAGGTTAAATCCAGGAAGGTAATTATTATTAATTCTGAGGTTAAATGCGATCGGTCTGGAAAATATTTCTGTTAAGTACAATCACTATGATGCTGAGATATTCCCAAAAGTTGGACCCCAGGCTAGATCGTACTACGATTACCTTTTCCGCTGGTTCACGTGTTGTGCACGGCACCACTGAGATTCTTGCTTTGCCTCACTCCCAACCAGTTGTCTACCTGACGCTGCCATCAGCAATAAAATAATACTTCTCTTAGTTTTATGTTTCCAAAACCACTGTGTCCTTAGGGTGTTTGTTGACTCTTGAGTCGTGTAACATTTGCAAAGACGTCGCTGAGTGATCTCCCACGGGTATTTCATCACCACTGGCTCAGGAGTTAATTTCCCATTTCATTCCTTTCTTCTTCATTCATTCCTTTCAGTTAGTTTTCAATCCATTTCTTTTTACTCATACATTCCATTACATCAGGGAAAGTCGTAAATAAGAGGGTAAGATACCAGCGTTCAGTCAATCCCATTAGTCATTCAGGTTCTTCTACGGTAGAATCAAGACTCATTAAGAAATTTTCAAGCTGAAAATAAATGTACTGGTGCATCTCATTGGGATAGACGAGATTTCTATTCTTTTAATCGTCAGTGATTTAAAATGTTTTTCGCAATTCCTAATTAGCGTTATTAAAAGATTGGCACGAATGACACACTCAGTAGGGACGCCGGAAGCGCAATGATAAGAACGACGATCAATACAGGCACGGTTGTTGGTTCAGTTCAGTAACGGGCCAGTCAGGCGTCCAAATCGAACGGTGGTTAACATATTGGTAGTAGGCCTGTCAAACAAGGGTTTCCTCAAATTCATGACGGCTGTGAGGAAGATGTGGAAGCACTCTCTTAAAAATATTTCAGCATTACAAACAGAACCAATTTGCATCAAAATTCAATGGCATTCATGAAGAAGACAAAATCTTCAGCTAGTAGCCGAGCCCACACACAAATACGAGGTGGAAGATGGATGGATAACAAGAACGGAAAGAAATGCTGTGTTCCTCACAGCGTATGAAGGCGGGTCATGTAAACGTAAATAAAAAAAGGCTACCTTCAATTTGAACGGTGTCCAGTCGTTCACATCGACTATTTGCTTTCTGATCTCCATTGACTAAGGTCTTACGGTAGACGCTATTCTTGACTTCTTCGAATACATTGAACATCTCGTGCACACGAGATGTGTAACCAGCCAGTTCGATCACCTGTATAGAATACAGTTGATCTGTTGATATGCAAGCCAGTGACAAATAGACAAATTTAAATAGCAAAAGAGTATTAGATTTTGATGACTCTTCATCTTGCAGCATGGCTGTTAACAGCTATAGCCTAATATTAGTTCTTACTTACGAAAATTCGAAAATCCCTAAGCTTTTAGAGTTGGATTGACCTATTTCCTTTATTCGACGCCTAAAAAGTGCAAGGCACTCGGCTATGTACAATGCCCAGGGATACGCCATGCATTCGACCCCATTCGTAGTATCGTACTGGTCACTTAATCCACACGTGGTTTTTACTATGACTTTTGAGAGCCTAGCAATGTGCCAAGTGAATATTTTCGTCCTCCCAGGGAAGCCTCTTACCAAATTCCCGACCATGCAGTAATGGGGAGGTGCTTTATCGACACGTGGCACTGAACCGAACCTACGACGCAGTGTCTGCACTGCGGGGCATCTCGAACCACTGCACTACACGATCCACTGGACCCCTACATTTTCTTTCAATTATGTTATGTATACCTCCTTATAAGAAGTCATAAGTCTTTCCACAGCATCGGCAGACGAATACAGTAAGTTTTTAGCAGTAGCAAACCCACGAGTACGTTCTGAAACACCTCCATCCCGCTCGTCTTCAAATCTTCGGGACTCTGAAATAATTACAAATAGATGCCTGCGTTATGCTTACTTACACTTTTATATATCTTTTATTCGCGTAAATTCAAACGTGAAACGGTTTCCAGTTTTTCTTCCATATTTGTTCCGATGTCAAAATAAGAGCCCATTCTTAATACAACCGGAACGATGCTGGAATATGAACAGGACCCGGAACCTCAGCTGCGCCTTTAACCTTCAATCGCCCTTTGAAAGGACTCAAGTGCTATCCACGACAATAACCGAGGCCTTGCTTTGCCTTTCTCTCAGTCATTTTACAACTCCATCGTGCTATCAGCAACAATCGATAACGGGAATGATCTAGAGAGCACAAATCGAAGTACTACAACCATAACTGGGTGCTTGTGGGTTCGAAGTCAAGCTGAGGTTCCGAGTTTTGCTCACAACTCAGCATTATTGTAGTTATATTTCACATCATTCCCTGCCATGAAAGAAAAATAGGCAGTAAGTAAGAGTTAAGATACTATCCACTCTTATTTAGCTAAGAGACAGGCGAAACGAAGAGCCCACACGGTGTTTTGGTGAACGCCTTAGCCCACGAAAAGGGTAATAGCGAGTTCGTTCACCACCGCAGGCACTTGCGGTCCGGAGTTTTGCAAATAATTCAGTATCGTTACAGTTGTACTTCACATTGTTGTTTAGTTACTTCCTTTATTTCTCGCTTTCATTTTTTAGGTTTCCAACTATCTCGCCGAGCGGAGTTTTTTTTTGGATGCCTCGAAATCGTGCACTATAAAAAATAGTCGTTTGAACTTCTATTAGAGATTCAAACGCCTCAGTAAATTGGCTAGCAAAAATGTCACTAGTTTATTACAACACAATATTAACGTCATATCACTGTACTTACTTATTTTGCCTGTTTCATTTATACACTATATGATACTGTAAAAGAATCTGCTCCTGGCGTTGATCAATCGCTGAGGGTGCGCCATGCACTCGACTTCATTAAGCATCGTTGGAGGTGATTGAATCTGGCCTTTACAATGACTCGCAGTGGCCTACCGATACATCGAGTCAGTGCTGTTATCCTCTCGGACAAGTCTGGTACCAATTTGTCGGCCCCGGAGGGATAGAAGGCTTGATGAGCCACGGGCGCTGGGAACGATCCAATGTGTGTGCCGCAGGACGTCTTCGACCACTGCGCCACACGCGCCTTTAAAGCCACTGTAGCAAGCAAAAACTTAGTAACTGCAATGGAAAGCTTTCAAATTAAGACAAGGTCTGTTCATGTTTCAAACAGTTTTCAAACAATGTCACTTTTTTATTTGCTGTCTATTACGATTTTTCACTGCAGGGTATTATGTGTCATAGAACCACAATGGTGCTAAGATATTTGCAAAATTTACGGAGCTTAGGCGTCTATGGTGGGGAACGAACTCACTGTTACACTTTCCGGGGGCTAACGCGTTCACCACCACACCATGCGTGTCGTTCGTTTCGCCTTTCTCTCAGCTGGTTTTCTATCTACCATTGCAATCAACAATCACCCGTCAGCGGGTCTTCGAACAGAAAACACCTACTATCAGGTGTGGAGTATTCTGCAGCCAAAATCGGCAACGCAATCATCACCATTCCAGTTCCAGACCACACATACTTCATAAGAAACTGTTCTACCATAATGTAAAGGATTCGCTTCCGAAAAATGAGCGTCGTCTGCTCCTTTAGGTTTTCGTAAGCTCTATTTAACTGATTATACTCGGCCTAAAGAAAATATATTTGCAAAAGTTTACGATATTACAGTATTTTTAAATATTACAGTAGGAAGAAAAGAAGAAAGTCTGTTTCTGAAGAATCACTTCCACTTGACAACTCCATCTTTCACAATTTTTCGTCATCCGCTTCTCCCTCCACAAGATTATGCTATCAATCAAAAGTCTTAAAGTGAGAAGTAGTTCGAAATTCCTTTTCAGAAACATAGCTAAGAGTAAGTCACTTTCAGGAATTGCCGCCATGCTGGCAGCAAACTATTCGTAAGACGTTAAACCCATTTCACCCTATCCGTCATTGGCCACCAGTGCCAGCGACAGCCTGAAGTTGTGCTGGGACCCATAAGCTTTCTCGTTAAGAATGCGGGCAATTTAATTCTCCAACTTAATAGGTTTCTTACAAGAAAATGAACATTCTTATCGTTAACAACGAGGAGAATAAGTGAATAGGTAATGGACTGAGCAACTAATGGACAAGTCACACTGCATAGAATTCACCCAAGAACGACTCTTGGGAGAGACTTGAATTGTGGAAATGCTAAAAAGGAAAGCATTCCAACCCACATCGTGACCTCCGTAAAATGCAATCTCCTCCGAATTCACGATAACTCTCGAGTGAAGATATCGTAAGTATCCCTTTCTCTTCGCTTCTTCAGCCACCATATGACCGAATCTAGTAAATGAAAAATCAGCAATATAGCAAACGAGTAATTCGGATGTTTTCTTAAGAATATTACCAAAAGAAAAATTGAACTTCATAGAAGTGCTCTCTCATTAACCATTACTTTTGCGGAAGAATCTCTCACAAACTAGCTTTTTTTGGAAACCATTATTTCGGGAACTGCGTCCTTACAAAAGCGAACAGTATACAGCTTCCTGATACAGAATAATGGAGAAGATTCACTAGCAACACAAAGCACGTTAACGGCAATAGAGTGGAATGCCTTAACTAAACTCAGAAAGGTTAAGTTAGAAGAGATCTTAATACGAGTCGAGAATAGTAGAATGTTGATATATTTATTTATGTGATCTTATAAACTGATCTTCTTAAGCTGACGTTACTTTGGTACAGATCTTCGTTGTCGTTGTCTTGCTCGCGACCCCACGTGAACTACGTGTGGGCCAGTCACACGCGTAACATTACGGCTCGGAGGAAGGCGAAGTCGCCGAAACGTCAGCCATCGATCAATAACATCAAAAACAACGACAACGAAGATCTGTACCAACCTCGCGTCAGCTTAAGAAGATTAGTTTATAAGACCACATAAATAAATATACCAACTATCTATGCCGAGGTGTATAGAAAGTCGGTCTTTCGAGTTATTAATAGTAGAATGTGTTCCTAAAGGCGTAAAGGACGATAAGAGATAAACTATAAAGCCTTCGCCGTTGATCAACACACTCAGGCACATGCAATGCATTCGATTCCATTCGTAACACCGAAGACGACAATGAATGCATATTTGAGGGATTATGCAATAACTTTGGTGAACTGGCTATACATTGAGTCATTGTTTTTATCCTTCTACCTTTCTAGCAACTCTGGTACAAATATGGTAAGCCTGTAGGATAAATCTTTACTGGATTTGGACACGAGATCGAACCAAGGAGCGCCAGGGTTTTTCACAGGATCGCTAACCACTGCGTTGCATTTGCCACCTTACATATGTAAGGAACACTGATTACACTGCCATTAAAACAACTGTGGCGCGGTTTCTAGCGTCCCTGCCGTTTGGGACAGCGCCTAATTAACAGCTTTTACGGAATTGCTGGCTTTTAACAATACACAGCAATTTTTCATTAAACGGCATGCATACCACTATTTACCATATTTACTAGTTACTACGGTTTATATGCTGTATCTATTTCGGTGTTCTTTACACTCGCTTGTCCCATCTGACCCAGCGATTCGTAATAGCGATTACAGATGAAGCAGCAGTCAAAAGTTTGTCAAATCACCAGTAGACTAACTCATTCGAGAAGTTTTTCATACACTTCTAAGTGCACAGAAGAGCTTTTATCGGCCAACGCTAGCCATGACATTTTTGTTGCATAAACTGTGAATTCAGTGCACCAAATAGACGCTTAGAAAGAAAATGACCCATCTAGAGCTCATACCGGCCACATAAGGTGCCGCGTATGGTTGCACATAATGCACATAGTCCGTTATGCGTTAAACAAACGTGAATATAGACTCACCTTGGAGAGATTGTTCTTAATAAACCAGCTGTACCGACTACAACGAAAATAGCGAGAATGCATGGAACGATTACATTCTTAACGGATCCGCGCTGGGCAGCGAATGATATCAAAGTGAACCTAAAAGAAACAATTTAGAATACTTTATGTATTATTGTGATGTCATGAAATAAGCTTCTTTCGATAAGATTTGACTTGGTTTAGAGTTATGCTTACAACATCACATTATATCCCGCAATTTCCCTTCGTTTTCATTCTCTTCATTGAGTGCGTATAACCGTGCTCTAATTCCAACCTCAATGCAGAACCGCTTAGCACATATTGCCAAAATTTATTTATTAAACCATTACTATATAAAGATGAAAGCGTAATAGACCCATAAGAACAATGACTCTGCAGACTTCACGTCTTTACCATGTTCGACGATGCCGACGTGATATACCTACCGACTTTGGAGCTAAAAATTTGCCCAAATCTATCTAACCTTTATTTTAGAGATGGGTATGGTACAGATTTACCAATCTATGAAGCCCTAAGAGGACACGGACACGCAGTAGGCACGAGCACAGTTTGAACCTCCCGCCTGGATTTCGCGATTATTCTCGGCTGCTTTAAAGAATTACATCACCAATCGTTAAAAAAATTTGTAAAATAGGGACTCTTTGGAGATTCCTGGTGAACAAACTTACGTTATGAGAGCAACGTCCAGAATTGGTTTGGTAAGATGTGAGTAGAGATGAGCGACACTTTGACTGAACATCGTGATATCCTCAGTTAGGCATTGATCGGCATTTTGTAGACGACTGTCCAAATTCGACACTGCGTAGTATGTTTTATTCTAAATCAACAAATAAACATCCATGCTTCTTTTTTAATTCATTTTTCCTCTTCTTTTGCATTGAAAATTCTACGAAGTAAACCTACTGCTGATAAATTGTGGAAATGTGGAAAACGATGTATAGTAATGCAATATCTGTTTTCAAAAATGAAGAGCGATAGCAAATAGATACTGTTAACTAGTTTTTACTTCATCCGTTTCGAAATTAGGCCAGTAAAATAAGAAAACTGGATAATACTGCATAAAGCCACGGGTTCTCTGAACATCTTTCAAAATTTTGCACCACCAGTCTTTACGTCCTTCGAACTGCTTACCGAATCATCGCAGCTGGCAGACGTTTCAGACTTTGAAGTAAAACGGGGATTCATCCACCCCCCACCCAGAAGGGTCTACCAAACCGAAAGACTAACGTTTCCACCCAAAAATCCAAAAATGCAACTGAGAGTAAACCATTACCATCAATCACTACCGTCCTGATATGAAACTAGTCACATGGTGGCAAACCTCTCTCTGATCCACAAGAGCTGCACGTGGTGATGACGACCTGGGGCAGACTTTGGCTAGGCTGACTTCAGGACTCCAGGGAAACACAATGGCTAAACTAGAACCAGCAAAACTCCGAAAAGAACGGAAGCTGTACTGGACCCCGCACAACTAGTGAAGATGGGCCATCCCAGTAACCAAATAAGTCTTCACGTCTATTGTACGAATCTCAGCACTTCTTGTAGCTGGGCTAGAGATTTCCAGCTTCGATTGCAGGGAATGAAGTGCTCCAAACAAGTCTGGTAACCATTTTCCGATTCTGGAATAGGAATTGAATGTAGAATATAAATATGGAGTGAGTATGGGTCTAGTAAAGAATAATCAAAGCATAAAGGATAAAGCCCTCGGCATTGAACAATCTTTAGGAAATGAACCATACATTCGACTTCATAAAGCATCGTTAGAGGTGATTAAATGCACATCTGACCTATGCAGTGACTCACAGTGGCCTACTGATGTATCAAGCTAGTGCTGCTATGCTGCCAGACAAGTCCGCTAGAATGCTGCCGACTGCAGAGGGATGGAAGACTTGGTGGGCCGTGGCGCGGGGATCGATCCCACGTGTGCGTTGCGAGGGGCCTCCGACCAATGCACCACACGCCTCCTTTCGTTAGTGATAACATCACGTAATCATTCGGACTTTTTATCCTAATGAATAATTATAGAGCCAAAAATTACATTAATAATAATATCCAATGTAGTAATGATTTGGAGTTCTGAAAAATAAGTTCCTTTTAAACATTTGTGACTTTGCACCTTTTTCATTCGCATTTCAACTAAGATAAACTAAGAAAACAGAAAGCTAAGTCTGTTCAGATTTCAGATTCATCAACACCATTCTTCTATGCCAATTCATTTTTCCTCAGGCGGGAAGTTTTATGAACAACTCACCGAAAAGTACTGCTTATAGGAATACTGTACAAGACGAGATCGAAATGCTAATCCCAGTATGCTCTCAAAATATCTGATCATACTGTTGATGAAGGTTGCAGGCAGAGCCACCAAAATCCATTTTAACAGTTCCATAGTAAATCTAACAACATCCTGTAATCATTCGGATTTCTCTCACCATTGATCTGATAGACACTAGCTAGGAACTATTAAAGGATAAATGATAAAGCGTTCAAATATATGAATCTCTTTTAGATTCGCCATGCAATCTGCTCCATTCCAAACGTCTTGACTGTGCATGGATTCACATTTAGCTCACATAAGGACTTGCTGTAGCCTAGCAATGTACCAAGTCAGTGGTTTTATCCTTCCAGATAAGTCTGAAACCAATTTGCCAACGCTGGAGTGATGGAAGTGATGGTAGGAATCAATGACCAAGGCCCGACGGTAACTTGTACGTTTTATAAACTCACAAAAGAAATGTTTATAGGCTTTAACCATAGCCTAGGGATACTCAATCCCTCCTAACTCAAACTGTATAAGCAAATCGGTTTGTGGATATCGAACCTTCTGAACGATAGCTTTAACAATTCGGCCTTCCAGTCCAGCCACATAAATCGACAAAAACGTCCGACATACAAGAATCAATGAATGAGTAGCTGAAAATGCCAACCATAATATTTTAACAAAGAACATTTTTGAAAATTTTTAAATGTTTAATTATAAAAAAACCCATTTGTAAACTAGTTATACTTTAAAAAATCTACTAACAAACTACAAAAAGCTTCAATATTAACTTTTGACCTACTGCCTGTTACCACTTTTCACGGAGGGTATGATGTGAAATACAAGCACTACGATACTGAGATATTTGCAAAATGTGGACGCAGACCAGATTAGAACCCCTCAACTACACTTTCCGGGATTCACGTGTTGCCTCCTGCTCCACTAAGACCTTAGCCTTGCTTTTCTCTCCGCTAGAGTTCTACGTAACGGTGCCATTAGCAATCACCCATCAACGAAAATGAGCCAGGGAGCACAAATCGGTATAGAACCCAGTTAATCTGAGGATGTATTCGAACTCACAATGTTAACTTGTTTATTTCCTGCCTATCATTACTTTTAACGACAGGTTCTGTTGCAAAACACAACCATTATAAAAAAGTTTACTTATCAAACTTGTGTTAACTTAACAATACAAGAAGATATTGGCTATTACTACCGATGTTAAATAACGGTCGGCTTGAAAATTATTGTCTTACTTGTAGTATTGTTTCCTAAAAAATTACATGTAATTATTCTGGGACATAATAAGACACATTCTGATAGGACCCTTTGATGAGCGAACGATCAAAAACGCTGCTTCAGAGAGAACAATCCACCCATACCCGTCGCTAGCAGCGCGTGTAGAGTGGGAGACGTCCTGCAATGTAGATGGGATCGATCCCCGCATCCAAACTCACCTACCCATCACTCCAGGAACGCAAATTGGAACCAGACTTGTCTGGGAGGATAGAAGCACCGGCTTGATAGATCGGTAGGCCACCTCGAGCGATTGTAGAGGCCTAACATGCACTTAATCACCTCCAACGATGCTTAATGAGGTCGAATGCATGGCGCATCCCTCAGGGATTGATCAACGCCAACAGCTCTATCTTTCAGTTGTTTTCATACCTGTAGCTGTCATAGATGGATTTTCTCACCAGGTTTTCATCCTCGTTCCTTCTATCCAAATAAAAGGTACTATTACTACTTCCTCAGGTGGAAAGTGTGACATGATGAGTTCCATTGAAACACATCATCATTTCTTTCATGTTTATCTCCCACTCCTCCACATAGTCCTTTTTCTTCCTCTTCTTCACTTACTATTACTATGCCGACTTCTCGTTTTCGTAGTCGAAATCTATTCCCGATTTGAGAGATACGAAAGAATTCAGGTTACAAGGTGTTCGATGTAGTAGGAGTAGAATCAACCGTCGGGTGGTTTCATTCCAAATAACTAGACCAACTATCCCCTGATCCACGAGAACCTGTTATCCCATCTATTGACGACGACAACAGGAACCTATTGTTGTAATGAGTACTCCAGTTGTTAAAAGAAGGAACTTCTTCAACCAGCAGCGTATCCATCTGGTATAATCACCACTTCTTAGAATCGATTTGCTTTCTGAAAGGTTAACACTCCAATATCTAAACTATTACTTATTTACTTGGATAGTCCGTCCTCACTAGTTGTGCGGTCCCCAACATAATCTCCGTTTTTTTTTTCGGAAATGTGCTGGTTTAGCCACTGTGGTTCCTTGGAATCCCGAGCTCAGCTAGACCAAAGTCTGCCCCAGATCGTCACCACCACAGGCAGCCGCCACCTTTGTGGATCAGAGAGAGATTTGTTACCATGCTACTATAACAGTTTGGTACCAGGACGGTGACGGATCCTGGTATTGGTTGGTTTAATCCAAACTACTGAGAAAAAAAACCCTCCTAATTTACCATGATTTTTTTCTTAAATGTTCTTTGCACTAGAATTACGTCCTTTTCGAGCTGGAAAGCCTTCATGCCATTCTTCCTTTGAAACCACATTCTAATTTTTCTTCTTTTTCTCACAGTCACCTACTATAACATCATAAAATTTTTTTTACTGTTTAGCTCACATTCCTCTTAGTTCGAGACAAACTTCTTGATCTCCTTTTGATCTATTCATTATCTCGTTTTTGGTCTACAATCGATTATAACCGTATTCACTAACCGATTTCTTAAAACAAGAAAAGAATCCAAATCTTTTCACTAACCAATAATTCCAGCTTCTTTGGTGAATAAACCGGGTACCATAATTTTCAACAGAACAATCAACTGACGAAAAAATAACGGATCAAAAGCTCGTCGCTTCTTTTTCGACGATACGAAGGAACATTTCGACGAGGCATCTAAATTATTGCCGGGATACTTAGCTCAAAAGGAAAAAAAAAAGAAAAGGATAGAAATATGAGAAGATAAAGGAAAAGCTCTTTAAGACGACTTACTTCGTCTATTAACGATATGACCAATAACAATAGCACTAACTGATCCAAAACAAACGGCTAGAATAGCCTAAACGTAATGATTAATGCTTTAGCATATCTTTCCGCTACAACATTTAACACATTCTAAGGAAAACAGGTTCTTTTAAAGGACGGGTTTAGTGGGGAGTAAAAGTGGAAGATTCTACTGTTAGAGCAAAGAAAATCTGTCCACTGATTGAAGTATGCTGAAAACTGAATAGGGCATAGCTGAGAGAAAGGCGAAACGAAAGATGCGCATGGTGTGGTGGTGAACGCGTTAGCTCCCCGGAAGGGGTAATAGTGCGTTCATTCCTCATTGCAGACATCTACAGTCTGGAGTTCTGCAAATGTCTCATTACCATTACGGTTAAATAGGGCATACTTTTTGTACCGTATCATCTAAATGCTGATTAAAAGAGAGACTAAAGCGTTTATTTCGACTTCTCCACTTTCTTTTCTCCGTTATTTCCTGACCTTTTTCCGTTTTTCAGCATTCAGTGCTATTTCCAAGAATTTGGACTGTACGGGCATCAGTTCAGTTTATTACCCGTCCTCAAGGATTAGAAAGGACTCACAACACTCTAAAAGAAATTGTAGTGATATAACCCAAATCGATATTCGACAAGAACAAACATAGGCTATAATCATCGAAATGACTCTTTCTCCGTTGCAAGTAGTTAAAATATTCAGTAATAAATGCCAAATCAATAGATAACACTGTCCAAGAAAGTTCAAGTACTTGTATGTATAAGATAAAATTCTGCAATGGTAAATACTAACTACATAGATGATAAGGAACTGGCCAGTTTAAACAGACAGCCTTGTCGATAGTGCCTGTTATCTCCATGGTAATCGTCAAGACCATAATGAACCAGTAGTGAAGGACCACCTTTACAGAAGGAATAACTTTTCGCCACTCAAAAATTTTTGGTTTAAAAGTTGTGGACGCAAGAACTCTATGGGATTTTGTTTAAGCATGAGTAATCCCTTGAAGTTTCAGTACAAGTAGGAACTCTGTTGAACTTGGTAAACACAGTTTCAGTTAAAAGTGTTATTAATAGTCTTAGAAAATAGAAAGTATAAGATAAAAAAAGATTCTGTACACATTTGTGAGAATCACCTATGAAAATTCTGATTAGCGATAACTAGAACTGTTCTAAGACAAAATAAACCGTTCCCATGATTGACTTTCTGTTAACCTCGGCATTGGATTACAAGTGCGTCGTTTTATTGCCCTTTTTGAGGCTTTTTGGATAAATGCCAAGAACCCTACAATGAACAGCTGGAAGGAATGCCCAGAGGCCACACGCGACCTGACTCCGTATCTTCGCATCGGTTTCTGATGTGGATTGGTACAATCATCAACCATAGGCGACTATAATCTGCTGTTCTAATCTTCCTCAGGAGAAGTCACGTCAAAAGCGGTGGGTTTCTCGAAAAGCTCTTGATTACCATTGATTACCATTGAGTTTTTTGTCTTTTTGTAAGTGTTATTGAAGCGTTTGGCCTAGTAAATTGTATATCAGTATACCCTTCCAAGCTCCGAAGAAGGCGGTACTGCCGAAACGTGAGCTACCGTTGTACTTTGTTTTTGTATCGAAGCAAATCTATGCCGTACGACAACCTCGCGATTGTTGAACAAGAAAACGAAGCACAACATAAACCATTCAACGGCGTTAAGAAACAAAAGAAATAAGAGTAGTGAGGTGCCAGCTGTAGTGTTACGAGAAAACGCAAAGCTTTGAAAAGTCAACTAAGGATACGCTATGCATTCGACAAGATTCATAACGTCATAGAAGTAATCAAATCTAAATTTCACCCTTAGAAAGCCTTGTGGGACCTAACGATATATCAAGTTAGCTTCTTCTTTAAATCAATCCAGACAATTATGGTAGAACGGCGCAGTTCGCTGACCCCGTGAGGAAGGAGAGGAGAACGGTTTGTACCTCTAGTCACTGTACCCTCTAGCTTTAAATTTTAACTAAAAATCGATATTTTGTGATGGAATATATCCGTCAACTGGTGAAGTGAGAGACGAGATATTCGGAATGAAACAAGGGCGAATACTGTCATATCAGCGAAGAAGTACTGATTAGAACACAAATAAAGCCTTATCAATGATTCTTTACACAACGGATCACAAATTAGATAATGGTGTTCCTGAGCTACGAATTCGACGAATTTCTTTCATAACTCGAATTTTTTCTTGGCCGAATGTTCTTTCATACCAAACTGCTCTTTAGAATTATGCAAGTAGAAAGTCGTTCACATCTTTAGTCTATAAGTGAGCAGAGTCAACGAAGGCAAACTGAAGCGGAAATAAAGGAGGAAATTCCCGTAAAAGTAAACAATATAGTTAAACCATTTAGCTTCAATGATGTTGAGATAGTTGCGAAACTCCGGACCGCAAGTGTATGCGGTGGGCAACGAACGTGCTATTGCCCTTTCCGGAGAGCAACGCGTTCACCACCACACCATGCGGCTCTTTCCTCCCACCTGTCTCTCAGATAGTTCTATCGATTTTTTGCCATTAGCAACCACCCGTTAACGGGATTGATATTGGGAGACCCGCATGGTGTTGTGTTGAACGCGTTACTCCCCGGAAAGAACAATAGCGAGTTTGTTCCCCACCGCGTACACTTACGGTCCGGAGTTTTGCGAATATCTCAGCATCATTGAAGTTATATTTCGCAACATACCCTGCCGTTAAAAAGAGCAAACAGTAAATAATAAGTTAAAATCGCGAGATTGTTATGCAGTATACATTTACTTCCATGGAAAAACATACAATAACAACGGTAGCTGACGCTTCGGCAGTATCGCCTTCTTCAGAGCTTGTAAGGGTATGCTGATATACAATCTACTAGGCCAAACGCTTCAATAACACTTACAAAAAGAAGAAAAACTCTATGGTAATTACATGATGAACAGCTTCTCGAAAAACTCACCGCTTCTCACGTGACTTCCACTGAAGAAGTTTAGAACAGCTGATTATAGTCGCATGTGGTTGATGACTGCACCATCCCACATCAAAAATCGATGGGAACATACGGGATCAGGTCGCGTATAACCTCTGGGCATTCCTCCCTGCTATTCATCGTAGGGTTCTTGGCATTTATCCAAAAAACCTCAAGAAGTTTTCGCGTAGGTGTTTTGGACTCCTGTGCGAGGATATTGACTTTTACTTCAAAATCGTCTCCGCTATGCTTTTGTATCCTATGCGTGCCTAGTGGGGTGCTTCGTCTTAGTTTTCGTTTGCCATCCAGGTGTTCTTTTACACGGATACACAAAGGTCTGCCCGTTTCGCCAATATATTCATCTCCGCAATTGTTACACGAGATCAGGTATATCGTACCTGAACTCATGCAATCACCGTCCCTGCCGTAAGGGCAAATTACGCAATTTGTTGTTTCACATAGACGGTCACACAGGCGGTTACGAACTAACTGACGACGTAGAGTAGAAGGCGATACTGCCGAAACGTCAGCGACTGTTGTATTGTATTGTGTTTTTCTATGGAAGTAAATGTATGCTGCATAACAACCTCGCGATTACTGAACAGGAAAACGATGCATTCATAAATGATAGTAATTTTTCACGGCGGTTTACTATCTGAAATAAAGCCACAATGATGCTGAGATAGTTGCAAAATGTCGGACCACAGCTGTCTGCGGTGGAGGTTGAACTCGCTACTACCCTTTTCGAGGACTAAACAAGTTCATCGCCACACCATGCGGGCCCTTCGTTTCGCCTTTCTCTAGCTAATTTTTCTACCTAAGAGCACCACCAGCAATCACCCGTCAACGGGATTGATATGGGGAAACACAACTCCAGTTAAATTGAATCCAGTTAAGCTGAGGTCGCAGTTGAAATCACAATGTTAACATTGTATTCACTGCTAACTACAATTTTTCACGGCAAGCTGTTTTGTAAAACACCCAGATTGACGATTGATTGCCGATAGCACCGTTAGATTCAAAAACTAGCTGAAAGAAAAACGAAACGAGAGACCCCTCATGGTGTGATGGTGAAAGCGTTAGCCCCCAGAAAAGGTAATAGCGTGTTCGCTCTACACCGCAGACACCTGAGGTCCGGAGTTTTGCAAATATATCAGCATCGTTGCAATTGAGATGGTACTAACATTAATAACGCATGCTAATTGAATGGGAATTGAAGACAACTTCAACATGTTGATAATGCAACAACATAATGCTTTATTTAACATTATTCCGACCCAAGGCAATCGAATGTGTTTGAAAGAAAAGCACTAAGAGGGAGGACTAAGTGATGAGAAACAGCAATGACGACCTTCATGCGTCGGTAAAAGGGATATGGTACTGCGAAGGCGCGTGGCCAAAATCCAACCAAATGGCCAAGGCCGAAGGGCCAAGTCACCAGGCGATGGTGCCGTGCTCAGTGGCGTGCCTAATAGTTAAGAAGAAGTATCAGTCTAGGGCCGGCACGCGGGCTTTCTGCCAAGCAACTTGCGACACAATAGGTTACATGACAGGAGTAACAAAGGAAAATACATGAGTAATACAAGACATGCTAAAATGAAAGGTAGAAAATATTTCAACAACAACATTCATGATGAAAGGAAAAATCAAACTGTATCAAAAGTCACACATAAAAAGTTGAAAAGCCTTCGTGGATGATGGATGCGAGGAACGAATCGAATATAATAAGTATTCGGATCTACACAGTGGATGTGTTTCACAAGGAATGTTCTCTATATGTGTTTCGCACAGCACCTTCGACCACTGCGCTAGGCGAGCCATCAGCATGAAAACAGGATAGAAAAGCTCCTTTGGTAAGTAGCAATTAGAATGAAAATTCTCCTTAATAAAATATTTATCGACGTAGATTTTCATTTTTCTTGACGGAAAAGACGGAAAACCTCGTCAAAACAAAATTTAACCTATTTCAATTGCTATGGATCAGTCATCGAGTGCCTAGATGAACCCGATTTTTCACGTTTTTTCTCGAAAAAGCAAGAAATGGAGAACAATTATTCCAACGAGTGTCAGTACAAATTAGTATTACATCTGTCAAGTCCTCTACACCATATCTATCTACAAATTGACAACATCTATACGGTAAAGAAAGTCGAGAAATAAACTGAATACGGGAACAAATGCGATCGCTTGATCTCCTTTTTCAAGCAATTTCCAATAATCTTCTACTCATGTTAGATTGTCAGAATAAACAGGACAAATCACGAACTCGTGTGGAATTATTTTGGAATGATAACGGCTTCATTTCATAGGCTTGCATAAGAGACGATCCCAACCACTGCTCGAAAGGAATCGTCTCATATTTGAATACATGAACGGCCTAATTTCACAAAAAAATCCTGTTGATCCCACCCTAATTATTATTTCACTGGTAATTTACTAGTTGGGTAAGATTTTCCACCCTGGAGTCTCAAAAACCGTGCAAGGGTTTCATCACATAGGTCCTCACCACTTTTCTGCCAGTGAACTTGTTGTTGTTGTTGTTCCTAGGACGAAAGTGATTCCGTGCACTGGCCT